TCAAAGAATCGATAGCCGAACTGCCGCCGACATTCCTCCTTCGTCCTTGTGCGAGAACTTGCTCTCGACCCCACTCTAGGGCTGCCGGACCTTTTGCGGGCGGACTGGACATCGCCCTCATCCTCAACTATAGAGTCTGTGTCAGACTCAGCAATGTGTCTTTTACGCCAGGAGCGGAGACCAGACGTAGACGGCAACGGTTCCATTTCCATCTCCTCAGTTGGGGTTGCACACGAGCTCGACCGCGTAGACCCGCAGTCGATCTCGCCCGCAACCGCTCTCAACAGACTATGGCGAGTACGACGACGACCTAAGAGACCAACATCTTCGCCCAGTACTACCGAACACTCTTTCAGGAGTTCTAGCCCCGACTTCTTACTTTCTACGCCCTTCTCAGGCACCAACTTCTCTCCGCCCTTCTCAGGCACTACTTTCTCACCGTCCTTCTCAGACACGACATCAATTTTGGGTTTTGTTTTTGTTTTTGATATTTCCATACTTGTTCCCACGAGTATGGGGGAAAGGTTTCACACGCAGGGGAGCCCCCTGCTTCTGCGTGCGGCCTACATACAACGGGGTGCGGCAGATACCCCGAGGTTGGTGCCCTTGCGGCCGATGATACTCCACCGACCCGCCCGCGGCACAGAACACGCTAACCGAACTTATGATGTCCGGTAGCGTGCACCGCACAACGAACTATGCATCGCCAGGCACCGAAGCTTACACAAGAGGATTTTTATAGAGGTTTACTCCTCGCGGCCCAGGCGATTAAGCCAAGGCCCCCGTCCCCTCACTCCGGTGCGAAACATGACCACACCTTCGCGAGGGATTACGGTTTTTCGGCGGTGGCACTGAAACCAGCCCGATTGCGCAACGAAGCACTCACCGGGCCCGCCGACAACTCCCACTACGAGAAGTCGCGGAACAAAACCCGCCCCCAACGAAAACACGACAAACCCCATAACTTGGGCTCGCCGCTCACCACCTCTGTCGGAATATTAGCCGTCGGTAAGTGAGATCTCTACAGCGAGAAGTCACTTACCGCCGTTGCCCAGGATGCACCAGGCCCCAGCCATTGTCAGCCACCGTTCCCGCCGGACGTATCCGCACCAGGACAAGTGACCGTACAATGAGCCAGGGCACTCTTGGAGGTTTTCCGACCCAGCACCCCAACCTAACCTAACCTAACCTAACCTAACCTAACCTAACCTAACCTAACCTAACCTAACCTAACCTAACCTAACCTAACCTAACCTAACCTAACCTAACCTAACCTAACCTAACCTAACCTAACCTAACCTAACCTAACCTAACCTAACCTAACCTAACCTAACCTAACCTAACCTAACCTAACCTAACCTAACCTAACCTAACCTAACCTAACCTAACCTAACCTAACCTAACCTAACCTAACCTAACCTAACCTAACCTAACCTAACCTAACCTAACCTAACCTAACCTAACCTAACCTAACCTAACCTAACCTAACCTAACCTAACCTAACCTAACCTAACCTGGCCTGGCCTGGCCTGGCCTAACCTAACCTAACCTAACCTGGCCTGGCCTGGCCTAACCTGGCCTGGCCTGGCCTGGCCTGGCCTAACCTGGCCTAACCTGGCCTGGCCTAACCTGGCCTGGCCTGGCCTGGCCTGGCCTAACCTAACCTAACCTAACCTGGCCTAACCTGGCCTAACCTGGCCTAACCTGGCCTGGCCTGGCCTGGCCTGGCCTAACCTAACCTAACCTAACCTAACCTAACCTAACCTAACCTAACCTAACCTAACCTAACCTAACCTAACCTAACCTAACCTAACCTAACCTAACCTAACCTAACCTAACCCCTAACCTAACCTAACCTAACCTAACCTAACCTAACCTAACCTAACCTAACCTAACCTAACCTAACCGTAGGTTATAAATACTCCTCGAGGAATATATTGAATTGTCAAAGTAATATTATAGCGACTCACACATTTCATGTGGCTCCATCTAGCGTACAGTAGTCAAATACACATTTCGTGTGCTCCATCTAGCGTGCGATAGTGAAATAGCAGTATAATGTTAATATTATTTAACGACGATGTGCACATCATTTCTCCATATAGCGTACAATTGTCAAATACACATTTAATTTCATTTCATGAGCTCCATCTAGCGTGTTATGATCAGTATCAAATATATAATGTGCTATCGGGCGAGTCCCCGCCGCTCACAGCCCGTTCATTTCACTTCTAGGAATGAACAGTTCGGCTTTCGGTGCGGGCATTCGACCACTTTACAGCTGGTGCGCATGCTGCACCACCTGGCCGCCGAGTACAATCACAGTCGAGTAGTCGTCGGTGTCTTTTTAGACATCGAAAAGGCATTCGACCGTGTTTGGCACGACGGCCAAATATATATATAAATATAGTATACAAGCTATTACGACTGGTGGCGTCGTTCCTCAGGGGCCGTAACTTCTTCTTTTCGGTGGAGGACGCACGCTCCGACACCCGCTCTGTGGCCGCCGGAGTTCCACAAGGTAGCTGCATTTCCCCGGAGCTCTACGCGCTGTACACCAATGACATCCCAGTCCTGGAAAGCTAGCCCTTTACACTGGCCCTGGAACGGGAGGTCATGCTCGCTCTATTTGCTGACGACATGGGATATTTCTCGTCGTCGTATTGGATAACGAGTGCCGCCACTCAAATGCAGAGGCAACTGCTGCCGGGGTGGTTAGGCTGGTGGCGCATGGCCGTCAATGTTGACAAAACGGTCGCGCTACTGGTCCGCCGCAGTCGCGCAGCAGCGCCGCCGCCTTTAAGGCTCCCTAATAAGGAAATCGCGTGGGAGACACCGTGCGATACCTCGGGATCGACATTGACCGGTCGCTGAGAATGGTGCCGCAAGTAGAGTGAGCCATAGCGCAGGCTCGCTCGGCGCGCGCCTTTCTCCGACCGGTACTTAAAAAAAAAAAAAAAAAAAAAAAAAAAAAAAAAAAAAAAAAAAAAAAAAAAAAAAAAATGTTCCTTGAACAATCTCTAAATCAATCAAAGTACTATTTAAAGTGGTGCCTTAGAGTTTATGCACCGTCATCGCCCAACTGAGCATTAAGTGCGGTATTCTTCATTCAAAATCCTACGAGGATGTTGACTGGTAGTTTTTTTATTTTTTTTTTTTTTTTTTTTTTTTTTTATTATATATCACTCAGAATACCAAACAAGCTGACGGCCCACCTGATGGAAAGTGGTAACCGTCGCCTATAGACATGAGCGGTACCATGGACATAACAGAGTATACTGTTTCGTCTATGATACCCCCCATGCGTTGCCATTCCTGAGGACTCAGGTGTTATTCCTCTGTATCCAGTAAATCCACGCCATATCTCACCCGTCACACCAAAACATAGCCATGTAAACACAACTACTTCACGGTAGAAACACGAATGGGACAGAGGTACCCAAGCAATCGACTTTTGTACAGTCTCCCTCTGATAAAAGTATTTATTATTTAATAAATAAATAATATAATACTAACATTAAGTCCGCCTTTTGCGCCTTATTTTATTTTGGTCAATAAAGTTATTTAAATAAATATTATTCTAACTTTTCAATATACAGTGTAATTGTTTTCATTGTTTATATAAATAAATATATAGCAAAAAAAAAAAAAAAAAAAAAAAAAAAAAAAAAAAAAAAAATCTTAATAGAGTATAAATTTGTGTCAACCTTGGGTGAGGTGCGTTACACACACACGCACGCACGCACGCACGCACGCACGCACGCGCGCACGCACGCACACACACACACACACACACACACACACACACACACACATCCACACACACCTCCACACACACCTCTCTTGTCAAAAATAAATATATGTAATAGTATTAGAAATAAGTACCTTATAGAACCTTAAATGTTTTGCATTAATATTCTTTTCTTTATTCTTGTTTAGTATTTTATATACTTTTTTTTTATTATTTCATTTTAAAATGTATTGTAATTTTCGAGTATCGAGTAGTACAGGAACCGGATTGTAAATGGCAATAAATATGAACTAACTTAATTAGCCACTCACCGACTACTACGATACAGGCCTGCGAGCCTAGTGTAGTAATCACTGTATAAGAAATTGTATACCCGACTTTTAGCTACAATAAAGTTATTATTATTATTATTATTATATGAGCGTCGTTTATAGGTAGGCAGTTTATTTATTGATTTTCTTCACATTATTATATATATAGTTTGGTAATGTAATATATTCTACTAATTTAATACTCGGAAACAAGGCATTTTCCCCGATCCACTAGAGAACGCTCGTGTTATACCAATTCATATATATATATATATATATATATATATATATATATATATATATATATATATATATATATATATATGTTTCTTTTTTTCCCAATTTATGTATACATATATTGTATAGGCGAGCGTATATATATATACTTACATGGCATTCATTCATTCATAGTCCACCGCTATTTGCTAGCATCATGATGGGCTAACTGGCCTTTTTTTTTATTCTCATCTATCACCCTTCACTGGTGCTCCGCCAGCGTATACCGTTAGCGCAGGCGGGGTTATCATACCATTTTCACCCATAAAAAAAAAAAAAAAAAAAAAAAAAAAAAAAAAAAAAAAAAAAAAAAAAAAAAAAAAAAAAGAACAATAAGTATTTCACAATAAAACAAATAATTTTTTAAATTGTCTAAGTTAACAAAACACTCTCGTCGCTGGCCCGTGCGCCTAGCGCCTACGCGACCTGCGCGAGCATCTTGCGAGCAAGTGCCGTGACCAAGCGTCGTGATATAAATATATATATATATATAACAAAATGTTAGTCTACTTGTTTTTTTAACTAATAAAAAATTCAATTATATTATAAAGTTGATATATGTATATAATAAACATTGGTGAGTATTATCTCACCACAAATAAAAAAAAAAAAAAAAAAAAAAAAAAAAAAAAAAAAAAAAAAAAAAAAAAAAAAGACAAATGGTTGTGTGTACACGTTTATTTCAACTTAAATACAATTATTACACGCGATGGACGACGGCCGCCACTCCCGCACACGACAAGCTGCGGAGACGGTCAAGCAGCAACAGCAGCGGCTTCAATCCAGCACGTACATTTAGCGACTTATAGGCTTAATCAAGCCGCTTCATACACATGTTAAGTGGCTCCATATATGTATTTATAAACTTATATAAATTATGGTTATAGTTCTCTCAATTATTTATTCTACTTATTTCATTAAATAATAATGTATTATTATCAAAGTGTAATGATGATCAAGTCTTCGCGTCAAGTAAAAATTTGAATCGAGCGCGTGTCAAGCACTCAGTGGCTCGATTCAGGCAGCGAGCAAATATAGCGGCCGCTCAATCAGGCTTGACCGTCACCGAAATTCTTGACCAGCGACAAACACACGAGTTGGTTCTGAGGCGCCATTTTGATATATTTTAATTTGATAGTTTCGCGTAATTACTATTTTATAGAGCATCATCAACTAAACTTATTATAAAACTTGCTATAGCTGATATAGGATTGTAGATTTAATTTCAAGTGCAATAGTTTACATCACACACACACGCAGGCAGGACGCGTGCACGTGTCGAGCGCGAGCGAGCGCCGCCGCCGTCACGTAATTAGTAAACGAAACACGCTCCGCACGTGTTACTTCAAGTGTCCAAGTTGTGCGTTGATCAAATTACAATAACTAGCCTACGGGACACGACTCGGAACACGCGCCGCCTGTCCGTTGGTTCCACACTTAGACAATAACAATCAAATTAATATATAAATAAGTATAAAACATTATATAAAACAACATGTAGACAAACCACAATATCTGGACACAGTCCGTCTCCGGCTGTCAGTGAGGATGTACAATGTACACGCCATGAAACATTCTATGATCGTAGACAATGCATATAGACTGTGAGCTGGACCACTGTCGGGCGTGCGCTTGAATAATTGTCGAGGTTCGATCATGAAACACGACTAAATGTAATAAATTATACTTTTATAATTTGTAACTGAGGTTAAAATAATTTAAATTTTCAATAACTTCTCTTTTCATTAATGTAGTACTCGTGCATACGACAGCTATGTTTGAGTTGCGTTTTATACTCTACGCGGCGCAACATACTGCGGGTCACTGAAGCCACAACGAAATAATTACTAAAACGTAACTTATGCAGTTAAGAGAACTATTCACACAAAATATTAAATTGCCACCGCGTGCACACACGGCCGTCGCCCGCAGCATACCACAACACATAGAATATAGTTCAGGTGGACAGAATGATCGAAGGAAATTATGATTTTACATGAAACATATATATTTAAAAGAAAGTCTAGAGGAATGATAACAATAGTATTGCCCAGCGTGTTATTGATAAGTAACTTTTGTAACATTATAAGAAGAGGACAGATTAATGGAAAATATTTTAAAATGAGTTAAAATGAAAGGTTACATTTTTCAATGTAATATAATATTGTAAATATAAATATACATTTATAAAGCTAATCGAGTCATCTTTTATGGTCGTGTGTTGTGAACAATATGACATTTATCATTATCAAATACAGTATACAATTGTAAAAGTAATAGTATATGTAATGTAATGTAATGCTGGACACCACGCCCTCATACAATCTCATCCGTACAGCAAGCGGGATAAACGGGTTGACTACACGACTAGTCGGTATCGGATCGTTCCAAGGGGCTAGTGTTGGCCGCGACCATGTAGGTACAGTGGTAGCGAACAGTGGCGGACTGTACAGCGCGTGCATGGTATGCGGCACGATAACGGTCGCGGCCAACACTCGCCCCTACAATGTGATAGTGCCGCAGTACTTGCAACGCATGTAATATTTTATATACACATGCGACGGGACCCTCCCACAGGATTTTGTAATCATATACGCGCTATTTTTCAAGATAATCTTAATTAGCCGGCACCGACGCCAAGCTACTAGTTCGGGCCGGCGCCCCTGTCCGCCGGCCCCGCCGCCTCGCAGTACGCGCCAGCGGCCGCCTACAGCGCCATCTTGCGGCCCTCGATGGAGATCTCGACGGCGCGCCGCGACCCGCTGCGCATGCGTTTCTGGTCTATGAACCGCTTCATCTGCTTTTCGTAGCGGGTCATCTTCTTTTTGGTCACCTGGAAGGGCGAGCGGTCGTCCATGTTACAAAATAATCTATTTATTATGAAACTTACCGTTGTGTTATATCTATCGACGGGTACGGACAAACAAAATAATCAAAATCATCGATTATACGCGGGGATATGAACGATGCGATGATACTTCATATTATCGGGACTCGACGCGACGAAAAAATTAGCAAGTGAATAGTAGTAGCGGTAAGTAGTATACAAGTAGTATCACGTGGTAGTATGTACAATATGTGCGAGTCAGTAGCCACGTGTGCAGTTATGTTTAGTAGTACTGACGCGGCTCATGTCCAGGTCGCAGGTGGAGCGCGGGCGGTACACGTAGTCCTTGCTGGACGGCAGCGGCACGCGCGCGCGCGCCACCCAGCCCGCCTCGCCCGGCCGCGCCGCCCTGCACGCGCACCGCAATATACAATACCAATATACAGGCATTACACTAAACAAACTAAATAACTATTCAAAACATTATAAAAATATTTTCTCAAACATGCTTGGAAATTTGAGCATTATTTTGACAACCTTCTTCGAGATAAATCGAACTTGCGGTACTGGTCGAGCAACGGCCGGCAATAGTTGTATGAAAATCCATATCTGTCGTGTTTAGCGGCCAAATGAATTACTATGTAAAATCATATTTGTCGTGTAATTTAAAAATGGAACGATCTTCTACTCCGCAACATGGCGATCAAAGAGGTAACTTATCAAAGGTTTAATTTAAATTTCGAACTGGCTTGCACATAGAAAGCGGTTTAGTGAAAAAAATAATATTTTGGCGCGTAAAAAACTATTGTTATTAGTTGTTCATCAACTTCGTCATTGGTTTTAAATACTTTTGTATTTGACAAAATGAGTTCAAGTGAAGACAATGAGTGTAATGAAATTATTTTAGCGCCACCTGAAATTCAAGAGGCAGCAAGAGCCGTAGTAGAAAACTTGTTGCCGCCAAAATCTAAAGAAAAATATTTGAAAATCTATGAAAATTTTGTTCAATGGAAGAATGAAAGAAAATCGAAATAAATCCTTATCCGAAAATGTTTTTCTGGCTTATTTCGGATTTCTCAGATAAACAAGTGTTCTAGTGTTTAAATTATTATGATTAAATCCCTAAGAAATTAGGTCTTTAAATAATTATCATATCATTTAAGTAAATTTTCTCATATAAATAATTCCAATATTTCCCCTACAGTTATTATAAAATAAGAGAAATAAATTGTATAAATTTTCCTATAGACATAGATATAGAAATCATAACGTGTATCATCTCCCTTTTGTTTGACATCTGTCACTTCAATGACATATTGAATGACGTTTTGATGTATGGAATTGCATTTTGATATCTATCCCAACTGACAACGTAACAAATACTAGCAAGTTTGTTTATTTGTGTTTGTTTAATATAATCAAATATAAAATCACCATACATCAACAGTAATATATGACTTAAATTATCAGTGACATAAATAATCATGGTTTACACCAGAAATAATTAATAGTATACGGTAATGCTGCAGTTTTATATTCATATCAGTGGCCAAGCTAACTCTCAATTTCAAGATTAAACGGAAGACTAGAAGTTTAACATTCTTATTGCAATTGTACTTGCAATAATATATACATACAGTACTAATTATCAAGAACATTCCTCAAATACATGTGTGATGAAGATTTCCCAATATGCTATCTATTTGATTTCTAACCTCTAATGTAAATTTATTAAAGAAGTGAATAATCAGTGTTAGTGTTTGCTTTATTAATATTTAAAGTAATTGTCCTAACTTGATATTAATAAGATCATATCTCCTTGGATACAGCCCAACATATACAACTAACTCAATAATTAAATTTATAAAATACTAATATTATATTTTACTACTTGTATATCTCCATTCTATTCCCATAAAATATTCAAAATATGTATATTGAATATAAATCCAATAAATATTCACTAATATTAACCCTGTCTGAACTTGTCTAGTCAATATAACATGAACAAACAACACACATATAAACCTTATCGCCAGGACAACTTCCTTTCTAAATATGAGTAAAATACATAGCCTCACAAGTGTCATACAGTACCAATTTTATGTCCAGTATAAAATTGGTACTGTATGACACTCATGCCTAGTTAAGAGTAACTATAGTCAGAGAATATTTTAGTACTTTTATTACCATTAGGAAATAAATCCACACCCATAATATCAGCATAATTAAATATTATTAGAAACCAGTAATACATACAGAATTGTTATTATCAGCTTGCTTACTACAACAAAATCAATATTAAAGTTTATAATAAATCAAGACAAATTATCTATTTACACAATACAGGCTTGTTTACCATAAACACCCCACAGTCACATGAATTTATCTACTAACACAATGTACACATTCACATAAAATCACATGCAACAGTTAAGCTGTTTCTTTGTACATCTGGTGTAAAATAAATCCTCACATGTAATCATGGGTAATTAAATATAGACTAAGAATCATTAGTCTGGTCGATCGAGTAATGGTATGAAAACACTTCACCATGAAGCGTTAGGTAAGAATAGATATCCCAAACCAACACTAATAGTGTAATAAATACAAATATTCCATCATCATCATCGTCGTCTCAACCATCACCAACCCACGACTGAACACAGGCAATTCCCCATAGACTGCCACCAGGAACGGTCCCAAACTTCTGCACCCACCGACACACACATAAAACAGCCACTCCAACCAATGGAGGTAGCCCACACCGCACTTGCACATACAGAGTCGCCACTCAATAACATCTCTGTCTCATCAATGGTTGTTTCCCCAGCAATGAGACCAGACCACAGCCACCTCAGTCTATTTATCCTCAATAAATAAATAATTTATAGTAACTAGATATGAATCTAGTTAGTATTATAATAGTTTAATAGTTGATTCAATAAGTATTTTCCAAAACTGGACAATTAGAACATTGAATCAAATTGATGAATTTCTATCAAACGGCCATATAATTGGATTTTGTATATGAGTAGAATACCGTAAGTATGTATTATTACGTAAATTATATTGATGTAGAACTGTTCAAATGTGATTGCATTTAAAGATATACGCATTACCTAAGGGTATATGGACTCGATTAAATACGTATTTTAATAGTTGTTGATAAAAATATTAAGTATAAACATTGCCTGTGATCACAGTCAAAAAAAAAAAAATCTAACTACGTAGCAATAAATGGAACAAGCTCACCGGATTCTTCAGTCTTCCATTGACTCGTTTCACACACTTAATCGATAGTGATACACTAAGATCTCAAACCCCTTCATCGATCCAGTCCCTCCTAGATCTATATCCCAGTTATTTTTTTTTTTATTTTATCGCGCAATCCCTAAAACACGACTCCCGCGCCATCCGCTGTCCTTTTTTTTTCTTCTTTTTTTTTTCGCTCGCCCCTTTTACCTCTCCTCTAGTCACGTCATAGATTATGTCATCGAAAGGTAGATATTTCAATAATCAGATTTAGCCTATTATTCGAACTGAACCTTTCTTCAAATTCAATTCAATTATATGTTAACGTATTTTGGTATTTTCTATTAAATTTACTATCGAATTTATAAAACTTTAAAAGCTCTGATAAACCTTATTAAGCTGTGTTGTATGCATCCTTTTTACACCTGATGATAAAAAGGTAAACTATAATTTGGTTATATATAAAATATAATATATTTTTGTTTAATTTATTTAATTTTCTTGTGATATCCACTACACTTTGGAAACACATCAAAGGAGTTTCTTTTCTGTGTCAATATTTCATATATGGTAACGTCTTCTCTGTACGCTATTGTGAACCTTGACTTTAAAGTTTGTTTATATTAAATAGCTCAGTTTTCGCAGCGGTCACCCATAGGAACCCCTGTTTCTTTTCCATGTACTTATATGGTATTAAACCTATTGTACTATAGGCGAACCGTCACACCGCTAAACACGACAGATATGGATTTTCATACAACTATTGCCGGCCGCTGCTCGACCAGTACCGCAAGTTCGATTTATCTCGAAGAAGGTTGTCAAAATAATGCTCAAATTTCCAAGCATGTTTGAGAAAATAATATTTATGTCAATGTGATTAATGATTTACAAGCTATGTGCGACTCGAACCGTCGCATGGCACATTTCTCCGTTTCAATTAGCTGAAAATTCGTCAACTGAATAAAAACAAATTTACCACTACATATTTTTTTAGTTTAGTATGAAATAATTTATCTGTCTTTTCATTCTTTATGTCTTCTTAAATTTTACTATAAATTTGTATCGATCTATACAGTTACAGTGGACTACTCTTAAATATTATCTTTAGTTCTGGTAGTTCTATTTTATTTTTGCGACAGGGGTTTCCTGAAAATTTATGATTTAATATTTTGTCTACCTATACCCACTACCCAATAACCATGTAATCAAATGAAGCAGGGTGTACACGACTGCTCAGATATGAGCCGTCATCCTCGAATAAACCTTTATTCGCATCCACGAGTATAGGTACGTTTTAATTTAGGTTACAATAAATAAACACACCCCTGAACTGTACCAAATGAGATTTATACATACGTTGAAAAATCTTAAGGTCGCGTTATAGCACACGCATGTACTAAAATAACAACTGCATGTAGTGGTCAACTGAAGGAGTATTTGTGTTGCAGATATTGCTATCTATGATATATATATATATATATATATATATATATATATATATATATATATATCTAGTATGATATGCCAATACAGAGTATACAATGGACGGCAGCTCACCGCTCGGGCTCGGGGTCTGGGCGGCGGTCGCGCGGCCGCTTGGCGGGCGTGGGGCCGGCCGTCCCCGCGTCGTCGCGGCGCCGTGCGCCCGCCATGGCTTCATCGCGCGCCTGTCGCTCCTCGCGGCTCATGGCTGTCAACACGACCACTCATTCACTTTTATATATCGCCTACCACTTTATTTGGTGACTCCAGTATATTATTATTACAAGTTACAATTTTGCTACAATTAAAAAAAAAACTTAATGGACATTGTTATTTAAACGTTATTTCTGACAACGAGCTTTCTAATATTATGTGAAAGCACCTAGAGATAAGATCGAGTGACACCTCGATCGCGCTCAAACAAGTGAACTAATTCAAATGATATCTGGTACATGGGCACATTATATATTTGGCCACAACACAATATCAGTGTTTTGCTCTTCTGGGCGTAAAGCAATAAACTGAGTTGTGACCATTTTGTATCACTCTGGCACACGCATGAAAACAAAAAGGAAATTGTTTTTGTTATATATTTTGTTTTTTTTTTTTGTTACTTTTTTCTATTTTTCATTCTTTTATCTCTTCTACTGTGTATTATGTGTATGTTTGCATTGTAATTTGTGTGCTGTAAGCAATGTAAATAAATTATGTATCTATCTATATAGTAGGACATAAGATGCTGACCCTTGAAGTCGGTGGAGAGGTTGAAGATGGGACGCGCCCACTCGGAGATGAGGCGGCCGGCTCGCTCGCGGTTGGCCTTGGTCTCCTTGGGGTGCTTGTACAGGTACATCACCGCCTTGCCGATGCCCGACTGCTTCAGCAGCGACTTGTCGATGGCCGGGAACTGCACCACACACCAACCACACCGCACGCGTCACGTCACACCGGCCGACCACGCGCCTCGCGGACAGTAGCGCCGCGAGGTGGCGTCGGTGGTGGCATGACAAATTATATATAATGTAAATACATTCATTAACATAACTGAGCCAGTATTGTAATTGATCTTGACGATTTGAGCCGTCGCTTATATAATGAGCAGCGCCATGGTGCTTATAAAGTTTGTGTATATGTGTGCGTGGGTGTGAGGAATACTTACATCCATGAGCAGCTTGAGGATGCTCTCGCGGATGAGCAGGCAGGGCAGCGCGCGGTTGGGCATGGGCGCGAGCCAGTCGCACAGCACGTTGAGCACGTTGTGCTCCAGGAAGGCCAGCTGCAGGTCCTTCTTGATCAGCTGCGACATGGCCGCCTTCAGCATCGACACCTGCACGTCGCGGACATACAGACAACAATAAAGACAATAGTGGCATCATGCACTAGTGATCGAATGATGTTAATGTAGAAGTGAAGTGAAGTGAAGTGAAGTGAATACCTTCTTGACGGCGGGCTGGTTGCGGCGGTTGAGGTCGCGGTCCAGGTCGGCGGCGGCGCGCATCTGCTGCAGCAGCTGCGCGATGAGGTCGTCGTTGTCGTTGATGATGTCGATGTCGCGCCGCCGCCGCCGCCCGCGCCGCTCCTCGCGCTTGCGCGCCAGCATCAGCTCGAAGTCCGACATGCCGCCCGTCGCCTCGGCGCTGCACCACGCGCTACGTTAGTACACGTCACACGGACACCGGTCACATACGGTCTATACATATTGGAATATTCACTACACTGGTAATGGGACCAGTCTTTAAGAAACCTTGGAACATACTTTTTTTTTAAAGAAGCCTCGACATACCTTAATCTCTGCGATAATATGCCGAAAAAATACAATTCAATAATAGGCGTCAAAAAGAATAGAAAAAGTAAGAAAATGAATCTTTAAAATATAAATATGGGACATAATTATAATTTACATTCACACTTTTTTTATACCACAAAAGTAGCATACGGACTGTCTGATGATAAACGGTCACTGTAGCCTGTGGACGTCTGCAACACTAGGGGTGTCACGTGCGCGTTACCGACCCTGAAGAAACTTTAATATTACTTTTTTGAAGAACGACATAGTGTAGTCTCTCAAGAAAACCTTGATAGGGAGCTCATTCCACAGTCTGAAAGTTTGCGGGAGAAAATGTCTTTGAAACCCCACTGTTCGTGATTATTTGGGCTCAAACGTGTGAGAATAAATTCCCTGTCGATGGCGAGCAATGCGATAATAAAAGATGGCTGTAGGCATAATTTTAAACAATGCCTCAGAACACATCCCGTTATACAAGCAGTAGGAGACGTGTGAAGGGTGTGTGTGGCGCGTACCTGGTGGGCTCGGGCGCCAGCTCGTCGTCGGAGGAGTCCGCGGCGGGCGGCGCCTCCCCGGCGCGGCCTCCTCCGCCGCCTTCCCCGCGGCCTCCTCCGCCGCGGCCGCCTCCCCCGCGCCGCCCGGGCCCTCCGCCGCGGCCGCCGCCTCCTCGCCCGCGCCCTCGTCGTCCGACGTCAGCCGAACGGCCCGACGCTTTGTGCCTGTTGTGTGTTAAATAACAAGAGTTTTGTCGTTGCCACGGTGGGAGGCAGACCAAGCGAACAAATGCTCGTTTCCCCCCTTTCCCCTACATTTGTTTGATATAAGACTACTGCCAGCCGGGCATCTCTCGTTGCGCCGCTACATCTCTGAACAATAATAGATGCCGATCTCCTATGAATATTGGTCTATTCTAGAGTGTTGCTTATTGCTCTTTATTCATTAGTTTAATTCCACCTCTATTTGAATACAAGACAATTCAGTCTGGAATAATCCAGATTTAAAAATAAATATATATAAAGTAAGTGTTCGTACCCCTCCGTGACGGCGAGCCGGAGCCGGATCTGGAACTCGACCGTGATCTAGAGCGCGATCTGAAATGAACACGTGTTTACGAAAAATAATCTTTCTACATTTCTTAGATTTAAATAATAACAAAATAAGTTAAATTGACATACTCCAAAACTGCCGAAAAAAAAGATGCATTTGTAATTAACCGCTGGTGTCACTTGAAATAATGTAAGGATTCTAACGATACTGCATATATCTTAAAGTTATGGTGCAATAAACTCACATACATACATGAACTCTGAAAACACTTTTTAGGCAGATATAAAATAATAATAATACGCAAATGAGACATACATACCTGGATCTAGATTTAGCAGAACCTGAGCGAGACCGTGATCGCGAACCAGACCGCGACCTCGACCGAGATTTAGATCGAGACCGAGATCGAGATGGAGAACGAGAGCCAGAGCGAGAGTGAGAACGCGATTTGGATCGTGATCTGGAGGGAGAATGCGACCGCGACCGCGACCGCGAGCGTGAGCGCGATCGCGACCGCGACCGAGACGCCGACTTTCTGGATCCGGACCGAGAACGAGATCGACTTTTCCTGTCACCTTCTGTAACAAACAGTTATAAGTTAATAACATACAGCCTATATAGATATTATAATTAACCCTTGGCATCATAATAGCTCAACACTCACAAAACTTGGCATACACATTGTATTTAAGGCACAGCTAGCTAAAGGCGGTATTATATTTTATGGTGAATCAGGGGGGAAGAAGACATCGTTAGTAATTGGAATTAACAACTCCACTACTAATAATATACCTCATCAGGTCGACCTCCACGCAGTTCGCTCTGGAAACCATCGTGATTTATTTATTGTTGAATTCAATACGAAGGGCTAACTGACCTGCTTCATCCTCATCTATCATCCCTCACTGGTGCCCCGCTAGCGTATACCGTTAGTGCAGGCAGGACCACCATTCCATTATCATGCATTAAAAAAAGCTGGTGACTCCTAGGACTGACCCAGGATAATGTTTTGTATATGATCAATACACATACCTGTACCGGGCGACTTCGAGCGGGATCGTGAGCGCGATTTAGATTTCCTAGAACCAGACCGCGACCGGCTGGGGCGGGCACCTGAGAATACATTTAGCAATTAAATAAATATAGCCATTATAATCAATGTCATGTTATTACATAGGCAAAAGACGAGACTGACCAGTAGGAGATTTTGCAGCTTCTTCTTTGGAGGCACTGCGCGACCGCGCGACCGCCGTACCTTCTTCACAGTCCAATTCCATTTTCTCTGGAGTTCTGGATCTACTCCGTGAGCGATTTTTATTTGGAGATACACTACACGATTTGGACTTAAATTTTCTTGGAGAATTCTCTTTAGACACAGATGGAGAAGGACTCCTTGATTTGGACGTTTTTAAGCTACCGCTACGAGACCTAGACTTTCGCGGTGACCCGCTCCGCGATCTGGATCTTCTGGACGATACGCTAGGAGACCTTGACTTAGCCGGCGAACCCGATCTCGAGCGAGCCAAAGACTTACTGCGAGATCTCGACTTCCTTGGAGATGTGCTTCGTGATTTCAATCTTGTTCTAGATTTTGAACGAGAACGTGCGGGTGAAACACTCTTCGACCCCGATCTGCTCCGGGAGCCACGACTGGACCGCGACTGAGGTGTACTACTTCTAGATCGGTCCTTGACTGGAGATCCGCTTCTCGATCTGGCGGATCTCGGAGAGCCAGATGGAGACCGTGAATGCGACCGAGAGCCGCTGCGAGACCGCGAGCTGGACTTTGAGTGTGAATGGGATCTTGAACGAGAGCGTGACTTGGAGCGTGAAGCAGACCGCGAAACGCTGCGCGAGTGAGACCGGGATCTAGAATTTCTTTTGGAGTGTGTGGAGCCATCATGTGACATCCTCGAGTCTGAAGCCACCTGTTAGAGAATTACACAATAACTATTACAAATCACAAGTCATCAGGGTGGATCCTGAGGCGCCATTTCTCTAAATTTATCTTTAAAATATTTTTTTTAATTTGCACACTGCAATATCTTTATTGTAAGGACCAATATCAACTAATTTTTTATTAGATTTAAGTCAAAATTATTATAATTTTAAATTATGATACCATAAAACAATAATTTCAGAAAATTATCAAATTAAAATATTAGGTTTTTTTATGCAACTAACAAACTGACCATCACCTATAGACTTGAGCAGTACCATGAACATAACAGAGTGTACTGCTTTATCCATGATACCCCCGTGCGTTGGCATTCCTGAGGACTAAGGAGTTATTCCTCTGTACCCTATAAATTCACGCCATATTGTACCCTTCAAACTGAAACACAGTTATGCAAACACAACTGCTTCACCGTTGAAAAACGAATGGGACAGAGTTACACAAGCAAACATTTGTACAGTCTCCCTCTGGTGAGGTTAGACACTAATAGGTTTATAGTTAGGTTAAATAAACCAATTAAGTCAAGACAAATGAGAAATAGACTCAGAATAGATACTAATATTATAAAGAGGTAAAGTTTGCAAGTTTGGATTTTCAGGGAAATCTCCGGCATACTGGTCCAATTTTAAAAATTCTTTCACTGTTGGTAAAGTATACCTGAGTGCCATCAACTATCTGTTTTGCTAAATATATATTTTTAATAAATAATCACAATAAATGTAACTAAAGTCACCATGCGCAGCTAAACGGTTTGAAATAAAGGAATAAAATCTATAGCAATAATATTCATAATATTTAGCTTTATAAATGCAACAATACAACCTAAAATAAATAACTTGATTTTACAATTTTTTGTAGTGTGTTGCGAGATCTGTAATTTTTTTACATTTATTGATTCAACGGGATCTAGTTTTTTTTTTAGAGGTCATCCTTCTCTTTATTGTCGGTCAATATATCCTGTCTGTCAGTTGTAAATGAGATCCGTTATTTGAATGAATGATCATGATTTAATTTTTAATTTTGATTAAATTTAATAATCATTATTTTTCATTCAATTTACAGGATTTTCTTTCCTTTATAGATTAAAAGCTAACTAAAGTTCAAAATTTGAAGTTTGTGAATTTTGATGATCGGTGAGTGTTTTGGTGAAAAAGAAATTTCACATGCAATAATTTGTAAACTATAAGGTATAATTATTATGTATATTGGCAATATAGCCAGTTACAGTGTGTCATCTTGATCACAAAAAAATTCAAACTTCTTACTTTATCCACAACTAGCGGCCTGTCCCGGCTTATTCAATATTGGTTACGTCCGCTGCTTAGTGAGCAGACTACGTGTTAAGGCAGTATCTGTAATATGTCTTTGCTATAATGTAGAAATAAAAAAATATTGTCTGGTCAAATATGGCGTAAAAAAAATATACGGAAAATTATATAGGAAATTCGGCATTTTTAATTTTATTTAACCTCTGATTAAACACTACGGGAATGAATCTATCAACTTTTAAAATGTAAAAAGTGGTTATTGTGACATAACGATAATAGTTGGACATATAGTATCGCTAAGTTTATTGTAGTTATTGATATTTTCTTCAATATTGTAGAACATACCTTTGTTCTATCACCAATAGTTTCCGCAGCGCACGCGACGAAAGATATTTTATAGCATTTTTTACACCTTGAGTTAGTTACTAAAGTTTTAGTAAGTATTCCTAATCTTTTCTAGCAATAAATATAATCTATGTTACTCAGGGTGAATATAGCTTTCTAATGGTAAAAGAATTTTTGAAATCAGCAAAGAAGTTTTTAAGTTTATTCATTACAAACATACATACAAAAATACAAATCTTCCCTCTTTATAATATTAGTGTAGAGATATTACAGGAGGTCAAATATCATGAGTTGCTTCGAAAAAAGGATGTTATAGCTATGCTATGCTTTGAAATTATAATTTGCGTTTGTATAAATAAAATCTGTTATTGGCTGTATTCATAAGAGACTTAGTACGTAAGTTGTGTTTTTAAGAGCTGTGGATTTTTGTATAAAATAAATAAATAAATTACCTAATTTTGTAAATAATTAATTAAGTAATACTGTTTTTTAAACATGACAATATGGCTGACACATCACAATAGAAAGTACTCACCGATCTGCTACGAGAGCGTGATTTTCTACCATCTGTAACATGGAAAAAAAACAATTACACTCTATTATACTACTAACAATCAATGTCTTATGAACAGAATAAGCTTAATCATACTGGTCACATATAGTAGGTTATAGGAATGACCACTGTTGTGCAATTATTGTTTGATGATGTTGGCAGCTATATTATATTTATGTAATTACTACAAGTAACAAAAATTTTTATCTTACCACATTGATACAAATATACAATACTGAAGAGTAATTTTGTTTATTTGAAAGCAATGCATAGAGAATGGACAGTGTATAGCTAGTTACAATATCAATTAATCAATCTTCTAGCTATTTGCCTATTTGGGTCAGCCCTTCTGATAGTATCATACTATTCTTGGTGATTTTGTGTAAATCTAGTTACTATATATGAGTGCTAAAAAATAATATAGAAACTATAATACTAATGACACAATAACCTAGTATAGACAGTGCAAAATTAGTAATTAACAATCATCTCATTTGACAAATTATTCTCTTACTGCGCTCTAACATGTTACTCCATAGTAGCCAATAGCTGGTTGACTCCTGTGATGGTCTCATTAGTGCATTGTGTAATTATATTAAACCATGTGTCTCTTTAGGTCATTTTGTAGTCGTTTGTGTTGTTAGAATTCTAATAAATTTGTGTGATTAGGACTCTGTGCAGATTTATATTTATATTCTTTGCTAATTTTTTTCCAAAAAAAATTACAATATCATATAAATTGTAATTTCTTTGATTGCATCCTTAACTAGGTTTATGTTTGCATAATTGACTGAGTATTAAACATGCTATATTATTTTAGCTTCAAGAGCAGAGAGCAAGTACAAATTCATTTTGAACACAATACAGATGTTATCATTAATTTTCATCATTCTATTTCTACTAAATCCAGAATTCAATCATCATAAAATATGCCCCTAAGGTTAACTACAGATGTATACATTGTAAATAAATTTGTCTGTATATTTTATAAGTAATCCAACACAAGATAAATAGTATATATTTTTAAATAGTAGGTATCTAACAACATCTTAGATAATATTGTCCTCGTCATTATAAATTACAATGTTTTCAACTTTTATGTTTGATATATGAGAATCGAGAAAAATCTTTAATTTCGAGGTTAAGTGCCGCAAGAACAATTTACTTACCTGTATCCACATCCATTGTACTTGATTTTACAATTCAATGCGGTAAATTCACAGCGTTTAATTTCAAAGACTGCATCAAATATTTATATTTAGAAATACGTTCAAGATAAAAATCATCATTACACATACAGAGTTATGTGAAAAGTAAAAGATACAAATAAATTACCAAGCATAGGTACAGAATTCCACAGAGCAAGTAATCACTTTGTCACTTAGTTATATCAAGATAGTTATCTATCTAAGCACAAAGTTATATAGGCACATTTCTGTAGCGTCACAGATTAGTTAGGGCTAAACTTTGAACTGGCCATTTATAGACATTTAGAATATAAATGATAAAAATAAAAACTAAAAAATAGTTGTCTTTGGAAAGGTCATAGAGTTGGTGTTTTATTTTCACTACTGTTTACTGTTCGTAGTTCATGTGTTGTAATTATAAATAACATAAAAATTACAAAAAGTAGTGAACATAGAACGCCGTACGAACACACAATAACAATATTTAAAACACTATATATAATCTATAACTACTGTTTTATCTGTCTCTGGTGAAAACTTAGGAACAAACTTGAGACAAACCAAAATTTTCGGGTATGTCCCTCAGAACCAAGAATCTTGGGACAAACAAACCTATTTTAACTATTGAATTATGTATGTTACGTATGTGAGTAACGGGTATATTACCATAGTATGCGTTACGAGCCACATCCACTGATGACATATCGACTAGAACCGATAGAGCAATAACATTGGCAATTTTACTACAAATTTTCTCAATATGTGATTTCCAATTTAAGTGAGCATCTAAAGATATTTCCAAAAGTTCGTTGTTTTAACCTCAAAAACCTTATTGCCTTTAATATTTATATTTAATTTTTTTTTTTTATAATTTCTTGTTTACATAACTTTCGTTTTAGAAAAATAAATTTTTAAATTTAACTTATATAACCAGTCCATAATTTTATCGATATAAGCGTTAATCTCGTTTTCATAATTTTGTAAACTTGAACCATTATTAGTGAACAATAACGTTACATCATCTGCAAACAATACACATTGATGATCTGTCTGTTCTGGAAGGTCATTTATTAACAATAGAGGTCCCAATATGCTACCATGTGGAATTTCCAGTTCTGTCTTTTTGTAGATAAATTCCATGTTTTCCAATGTTTTTGAGTTTTTATTATAGCGTATTAATGTTGTCGCTTGATATAGATACTATCATTCAAATAATTTTCTAATAGTTTAAGAGCTATTCACGAATTCCTAGTTGATCATGTTGATTTAAAATTATTTCTGGAACTACAGAATCAAAAGCTTTAGACATATCCAAAAATAAAGCGGCGACGTCTCTTTTTTTGATCAACAGACTCACATGTCTTAATAAGTATATTTAAAATAGCCATTACAGTAGAGCGATCTTTACAGAAACCAAATTGATTATTATTGAGTAATTTATTTTTTTACGAATATTGTATAACTCTATTATATATTACGTGTTCAAAAATTTTCGAAAATCATGCATCACTGGTGCCCTGCTAGCGTATACCGATAGCACAGGTGGGGAAACCAAATCCATTAAAAAAAAAACTTATGTACATAGGTTTTTAGTCTAAAATGAAAAGTTCATCTCTAGTTCAAGTGACAGCTGTCATAGGTGACGTAGATTACCTTTTTTTTTAGAAAACAGCTGTTCATAGACGTACTGTTGAAGACTAGCCTACTTCATTTCTTTGTTTTGGTTTGTTTTGTTTGTGTATTGTATTATACTAAAGTTATCTTAAACACTGTGTGTTACTTAATAATAGATTAAAATTGAAAGTTTGTATGAAATACTGTAATCTTGAACATGGATGAAGAAAACAAACTACCTTTGAAACGCGTGGAGCTATCTTTATCTAAATTCAATGAAGTTGCAATTCCTCACCATTTAGATTTATTACGACAACATAAAACTAATATTATCAAGGCAAGTATTTAAATTATTATTTGTTATATACGTATATTTGTTATTATAATTGGTAATAGTTTTAACAAAGTATTCGGACCATAGTGCGTAATATTAACCGTAATGACGACACGAGTGTCTATTAATAAAAACCAACGTGTGGTATGTACGTGATAATTTTGGCAACATTTCTAAATGTAATGCAATAATAATTGCTATTTACTTTTACAAATGTTAAATGCATGTACTGTCATTACAAATCTTCCGTCTTTCATATAAAATATAATTCAATGATAGTAAAATTCATATTAAAATCTATTGAATGATTTAGAGGTAAAAGGTATAAAAAGCAACTTTGTTTTAAACTGTTTAGAGATGTTAATTCATATATAAGAGGTCACCACTCATGAGTCATAGTTGTACCCTGCATCTTTGCCCATGGTCATATTATGATGTAGAATAACATGGTCAGTGGCTATCCTCAATATTTCTCAAAAATGAGCTATTAAATGCAAAAATAATTCCAATTCAGTTGATATTTCCAGATGTGTTCAAATAAACTAACCCTTCTGCTGTGTTACTAATATAACAATCTATTATACAACACTATGTAATAATAATTACTTTATATAAAACATGTAACAGGACTTAATGTTTACTTATAAATAACCTGCTTATAAGTAAAACACTAATTAGAAGGGAGAATAGGTAATAATATATAAATAAATAATGTTCTATCATCATATTTAATCATGACATCATTTGCAATGAAAATTAATTTCCTTATTTATTTATTACATTACATTTATTATTTACATCTTGAAATAGTGGTTGAAGTAGTGGTGGAATTTAGGGGTTTCAGAGAAATGTTGCTCTAACTGTTGATTTGACTCCTTATAAATATTTTTCCAAAAGACTAATATGAGCTGTATAAATTAAAGAACAGTATTAAATGGAAGCAAATGTATGTATGTACGTATGTAGTAAAGTGAAAGGAAGTATCAATGTAATGTAAATTGGACTCTTTTTCATGCTCAGCCTCTCGTTTGGGTAAATCAGTATCATGCTTGAGAAACTCTCGGTTTGTGCAGCTTACTGCACACTAATAATGTTGTGTGATGGTGTATAATATATATATATATATATATATATATATATATATGTAAGATATATAGGTATATAATATATTAATGTTTAAACAATTTGTAAAATGTTTGTATAATAATCAATAATGCTTAAATGGCTGTATGAAAAAGAATGAAATTTAGTACAAAGGTCATATCCTTAACACAGGATACTACACTGATTCACATGGGCACTGCTGTAGGAAACAGCTGATATATACATATGATTTGTTGATCCTGACAATAAAATGAAATTTCTCCTGTAGTTGAAATTTCCTTTCTCTATCTGATGTTAAGAAGAGCAGTTTTTTTCAAAATGGAAATGGGAATTAAAACACAACTACCCCAGGAGGGTACCGGCACTGCCAGAGAATCTGTCCCTGAGTGCAATTCAGGCAGCCTTATTGTATCTGGGAGGGACAAATTTCTCATTGACGGTGATGCGTTATGCCACGGGTCATGTCATGTCTCCCCTGTTTCCCCAAATGGCAAAAAGAGGGCAAAGGAATGCCAAATTGTGACGATGAATATTTGTGGAGGTAACATAGATGAAGTATGTGAGATGATGAATGAGAGAAGAATTGATGTATTTGTAAGAAGTGAAATGAAGAAGAAAGACTATTACTACTAATGACCAATATGCTGGGTACTGGTCCAGAGTCAATGACTGAAAGAAGCAGTCAAGGAGTGGGAGTTATTTTGTCAGAGAGAATAAATGCAATTTAAAGAATTTGAATTTGTAAATCCTAGACTTCTCTGTATTCAACTGAAAGTTGGTTTGACCCATAATTTTCTCCTTTGTACTTACGCCCCAGATATGTCCAAGCCACCAAAGGTCATAGAGAAGTTCTGGAATAGTGTAAGAGATATTATGGCCAAATGTAATAAGGTGATATTTTGATATTATTTATTATTTTGATAGGTGATTTTAATGGCTACGTGGGAATCCGTCCTGATGGATATGAAAGGATTTTAGGAGTGTTTGGAGATAAAAAAGTAAATAAAAATGGTAAAAGTTTATTAGACGTATGCCTAGTGAGAAAGCTGGTGGTGACTATTACTTTATTTAGTCACAAACTGATTCCTATGTATATATGGCAAGAGCAAACAGAGAAGTATGATTGATTTTGTAATTGTGGATGAACAGTTCTCTCTGAAAATGACAGATACAAGAGTCTATCGTGGTACGAATTTCGGAACCGATCACTTTTTGATAACATTGAGAGTAGGTGGCTTATTCAATAAATGGCGACATCGTCCACGTGTCCGTATATCAGAAATAGAAAGAGTAAGAGTAGAGATTGACAGAAGAACAGGTTTGAAATCAGTATCAAGAAAGATTGAATGAAAGATTTAGAGAGCTACTGAAGAAAGATGAGATAGAAGAATTTTGGAAGGAATTTAAATACGGAATCTTTGATATAGCTACTCAAGTTTGTGGTGTAAGTAAGAATAACGATGTTAAGACGAGAATGAATGTATGGTGGGATGGTGAAGTGAAAGAAAGCCACCATTTCTTTCACTTTACCAAATCAAAATTAAAGAAAAAGGTATGAATGGATTTGTTAGCTACCAGAGCTAATAAGAGAATACAAAGTAACGTAAGTGACGTTGAAAAATTTGCAACAGTATGATGTGATTAGAGAGAAGCGTGGACTAAAAGACGATGTAGTGACAATAATCGAAAAAGGAATGTTGCGTTGGTTTGGCCATTTGGAGAGAATGGATGAAAGAAGAATTACGAAAGAGATTTATCGAGCAAGAATGAATGGAGATGTTGGTAGGGACCGCCCTAGATGGACGTATGTCGACCGTGACGTGCTGAAGAATGGCCAAATTAAATGAACCTGTGACCGGTGAGCGTGTATGAAAAGATTGATGAATGTAGAAAAAACGTAAGAGGTATGTTTTAAACCGAAGCATTTGGTGTTCCATTGTTTCTGCCTAACTTTAATGGGAGACGGGCGTGACAGATATGTATGTTGAAACAGTGTCATGCTAGTGATAGGATAATGATGTGTATACTAAGTGCCACACAATCACCAATTCCCTAGTCCTCAAGCTAGGATAATACCGTAACACAGGGTACGTTACGAGGAATTAGGCAACAAAAATTTGGAGGCAGAACTCAATAGACCCAGAGCCGAGATAACCTAATGGAGCTTGTTTCCTAAATTGGTTTTACCTGGAATCGAACCCGGGACTGGCTGCATTGCTGACTGGCCGCGCGCGCAGTACGAGGAGTGCGGCGAGTACGCGCGCGTGCGCGCCGAGCAGACGAACGCGCGGCGCGTGGCGGCGCAGCTGCGCGCGCTGCTGGCCGAGCTGGACGCGCTGCGCCGCCGCGTGGCGCCCGCCGACCGCCCGCGCTTCGACCGCCTCACGCAGCGCTCGCGCGACCTCACGCTGCGCGCCATCGTCGACTACCTGGGTAACTTTCTTTTTACTTCTGCAGTAACTTCCGTCAGAGTAACTGTGGACGTGTGGCGTACCGCGCTTCAATAGCCTTCAATAGCGTGCCGCCTACCCGTGTAAGTTGGTTACCGGGATAAACGACTACGTCACACTCTTTTCATTCATCTGAGAATCTATTTTAGAATGTCGTTTAAAATTTTTATTTGTGTTATTATTTGTGTAAGAATTCGTGGAAATTTATTCTTATTGAAGAATTCTCGAAAAGCAACCGATCAGCATAAAATTATAAAATAATGTTTTAGGGGTTATAGAGAGCAGTTGTAGGAAATTGGTGGATGCGAGTCGAGTGCGCTCTCGCGTGGGTGAGAAATTATTGACGAAAATTGCATGTGATGTTATTAATGGATTGGCCGCAACTTTTATCTAATCGATTATTGAATACAGTGCAACAATAGTGCAGATCTGTTATACTGCATGACTCCCTATGGTTCGGGAGACAATTAATAGGACATAATTTCGGTACTAGTATCGAAATCATGTCCTTTTTGGCGAGAACGAGAATACATATATCAATATTATGCCGTTGCCTAATATAAGAGTTTATTCATGAGAGTGATCGATAATAGCTTTATAACACTGTAATGTTATTAAATCGCAATTTTAATGGACGTAAATGCTTTCAGTGTGTTTAAGTTGCGTATTAAAATTTAGCATATGTTCTTGGCTATTTATGTACACAATTAATAGTACCATTATATTAATGTTAACTTGTATCTGTTAACATTAGAGACGTCGCCGTTATCGATAAACCGGCAGAATGTAGAGAGCAAGCGCGAATCCGAAATGGTTTGCGGAAGCGCTGTATCGACGGACTCCGTGGGCGTAGTGTCGCACGCGCACGAGCCCACCCCGCCCGCACAAGACGTCACCGCGCTAGTTGACGATCCTCTCATCCAGTTGCAGGTCGAAGACCATGTAAGAAGGATACCATGTTTTGTTTAATGATCATGTATGAATGATAGCATAGTCCGCGCTATTGATATGCGCTGGCGGAGTGTCAGTGAGTGATGATAAACGAGGATAAAGTCAGGTCTGCGAGCTTGTGACGAATTCGCAGGAGTTAATCACGATAGTTTGTTTGTAGGGAAATCAGGAAGCAGGAGAGGTGTTAGACCCCATCATTTACAAGATTATCCTCGGGATACCATGGATATATAAATATGTCATAATTTTCGATTTGTCACAACTTTGTCATTTTGTATGAGATTATCACAGTAATAGTTGGTTGCGTTAATGTTACCAACTCGCGGATCGACGAAGTGGTGGCGAAGAGCAGTAAATCTGTCAGGAGACACGCGGAATGATGCGCAGGCTTCTTACCGAGTCTGGTCGCTCGGTGAGATTTTGTTTTGCTATACCAATTAACCGTACGCTAAAGCGAAAAATTTAGCTATTAAAAGACGACGAACTAGCTTCTTCGTTGCGTCGGTGTGCGCTGCCCAATAATGGTATATGATGGTATATGGCAGGAGGCGGCGCTGCAGTCGCGCGAGGCGGTGCTGCGCGGGTGGAGCGAGTTGCAGGCGGAGGTGCGCGCGCTGCACGACACGTGGCAGCACGTGCAGGCCGCCGCGCTCGCGCAGCGCGACCAGGCACGTACCGCGGCGCTCGCCGCCGCTGTTCTATTTCCACACGCTCACTAATTATCGCTTCTCAGTCTAGCAAATTACTCGTGCAGGTAGCGTCGGTCGCAGACAACGTGGAAGTCGCCGCAGAAAACGTCGAGACCGCGCGAAAAAATCTTTCACTCGCCGAAAGGTATGCTTCGCTCCACGCAAATTATGTTATATATGATCATGTTTATAGGCGACGATGTACTACTTTCCATCAGGTGGGCCGTCAGCATATTTGTATTTTCCTTTTTTTGTATATATATTCTTTTGTCTCTTTTTTTATGTATATCTACGTTTGTTTTTTTTTTTTTATGCTGCAAGCAATCCAAATAATATATGTAAATAGATTTAGTCGCTAGATATTTCCGTGAATGTGACTAGTAGTAGCACCTCGTCCCTGGCAGGCTGCGCGCAGGCGCGTACGGCGCGGGCGGCGCGGCGGCGGGCGCGCTGGTGGGCGGGCCGCTGGGGCTGGTGCTGGGCGCCAAGGTGGCGGCGGCCGGGCTGCTCGCCGGCTCCGCGCTCGGCTACCTGGGCGCGCGCCTGCTCGGCCGCCGCCGCCGCCGCCAGCTCGACGACGACAAGCGCGACTAGCGCGACTAGCGCGACTAGCGCGACTAGCGCGACTAGCGCGACTAGCGCGACTAGCGCGACTAGCGCGACTAGCGCGACTAGCGGCGGCGCCCGCCGCCCGCGGAACGTCTGCTACATCTATAATATCTAATTTATCATTTATTGTATATAATGTAATTTTATCGATGAAGCCCCTCGTACCGCCCTGGTACGCATTGTTCTGAGATTTGATTCGCGGTTAGCTGGACTAACTATTCGGAAACAAAGTTTCTAGCAGAAAATACTATTCTAAGAAAATGTAAATAATTCAGAACAAAAATAATATATAGGGAAAACCAAATGTGTGCTAAAAATTTTTTGAATGGCATATGGTGTTAGAAACGCTCCTTTTTATGGAAATAATATTGTACTAGTCTTGGCTACATGCTATATGTAGGCACATTATAGTGGAATCGAAATAATTTGCGTTCTTTGACTTAGCAAACACTACCTTGTGTTCTATTTTGGAAAGTAATCATTTTTCTCAAAGAAAAATGGCTTGAAAAATGTCAACACAGTGTGTACTGCTATTCAGTTATTATGAGAAATTCTAAATAGTTTTTATTATTTCTTCGCTAAACTACCATTTATTACATTGTCTGTACTGTTGTATATACTAATGTATAGATTAGATGTAAGGATCAATTGTAAAGTGTACAATACAGGACACAATTTATACTGCAATTAGTAATCTAATAATAACAATTACAAATTTTAACATCTTTTATTACGCATGCTTCGTGTTCACGGTTCAATCTTACCCCTAATAAGGTTATTAGAGGTATTTTGTAGATTATTCCCTTTAAGCTGACACTGAAACTCCACTCGTTATTTATTAATTAAAATAAATAAGAGTGGAGTGTCACTGTCAGCAAAGGAACCTACCTATTATCATATCAGATCCCTTATCCAGTAGAGCGAAAATATTAAAGGATAAATAACAAATTTTTATTAGTAATATAAAGCATAGTGAAAACTTAGTACCTTCCTGCTACCTGCTACCTGCTACCTGCTACCTATAGATAAATAAAAGTAACGTGCCTAGTCGTCATCATCATCATATCAGCCTTTATCTCTCCATTGCTGAACACAAGTCTCGCCCTTGGGGCGTTTTGTCAGTAGTTGCCACGATTGGCAGGCGGGTTGGCAACAGCAGGCTTTAGAAATGTTTTAAGAGGGACGCTGCTGCCCATTTTTCCATCATAAGCTCCTTTAGTCGTCTCTTACGGGATCACCTACCGGAAAGCAAAGGGTGAAATATTCTATGACGGAACCACACGGCCAAACGTGCCTTGTAGATGCCACTAATATAAAGTCTTACCCCCCTTATTCATAAAAATGACAAATCTCTCGTAAACCTATTTTAGCTATTGAAGTATTTTGTCCTTTTCTTTTGCATTAAATTCTTTTTTTTTTCATCATTTTCGTATGTCGCAAACTTGACTTGTACAAACCCAAATAACAGAGACACTTAATAAGAAAAACATTTTAAAGAACATCGCCTTTGATAATTGGGATAAAATACTTTTTATGCCAATTAGTATACCATACTTATATATATATTTTGCCTATCTGCCGGAGGGAGGGCAGCTGGGGTGTATGGGATTCGTACCCACTAAAAACCACACGACGTACCTCGAGGCGCTTATGTTGGATCCCGGGTTCCCGTTTGTACGACTAACGAGTATCCAACGCGACGATCCGCCCTGTAGGTGGTGTAAGGCAGGCCTCCTCTCTTAGTTAGGGTGGGGAATGTCCCTCCCACCCTACAATCACAGGAGGGCACGGATACGTGCGCGCACCTCCTGGGATCATATGTAGGGTGTGCCTCCCTCAAGGCAACACCCCAACCCTAGTGGGGGGGGAGGAAGAGGCTGAGTTGGGCGCGCCCCTTCTCCTTCGTCTGGCTCGGCGGCGGCGCATGACGGGAGCGGTGGGGGCACTCTCCCGCTCCTGCTGGGCCGCCTCCTTCTGCGACATCACCGCTTCACAGAAGGTGAGCATTGCATTCCACTTCCGCAACCAGGACGCGGCGCTCTGCACTGAACGCTGGGCATTCTTCTAGAACATGTTGCGCCGTGTCCCGGTCGCAACCACACTGATAGCACTCAGTTGTCAACTCTCTTCTCGCAATCTGACACGGGTACTGACCGAAACAACCGTGACCGGTCAGTATCTGTGTCGGCCGAAAGGTCAGTGGACCTTTGCACCGCCCGCTCAACCAGTGTTTCAGCACTGGGCGGACGGTCTCGACGGTCCTGAGGCCGGCCCCTGGGTCGGCCAGCCTCTCATCCTACTTCTCCAGAAGGATCCGCCGAACGTAGGACTTCCGTAAACTCATTTCCTTCTCGGTGGGGCACTCGCCCCGGGAACGTCGCTCCGCGCGCCATTTGTAGATCGACGCGCGAACTTCTGCCTCTAGGTCCCAGGGCGAGGACCCCGCCAGCACACATGCCGCCTCGCGGGAGATGGTACGATATCCCCTCAGGACTCGGTTGGCCATGGCCCTCTGTGGCCTGTTGAGGCAGGCCTATTTAAGGCTCCCGCCCAGATGGGAGCCCCATATAGGGCCATGGACTGCACCACCCCCATGTATAGGCGGCGACAGCTATCTCCTGGGCCCCCCAGATTAGGCAGCAGCCAGCTGAGTGCACCAGCCGCCGCCATAAGGCGGGGGGTCCAATTTAATCCTAAAAAGACAAGTCTGCGCGTTCACCGCAAAAGAGATGCCGTTTGTCGTATCTCCTCACTTTCAAAGCACTTCTCTTGATAAAAAGTCGAGTCTAGGAATTCTGGGCGTTGATATATCTTGCGACATCCAGTTTTGCGGTCATCTGGAGAAGGCTAAGATAGCTTCCAAAAAGTTAGGACTGCTCAATAGGGTGAAACGGTATTTCCTGCCGGAACACCGCCTGAAATTATATAAAGCTCAAGTCAGGCCGCATATGGAATACTGTTCTCACCTATGGGCAGGAGCGCCACAGTACCAACTTCTTCCGTTAGACCGTATTCAAAGTCGGGCAGTTCGAATTATTGATAGTCAACGCCTTACTGTCCAACTTGACCCATTGAAGATGTTGCATCTCTGTGCATCTTCTACCGAATTTATCATGGGGAGTGTTCTGAGGAATTGTTCGGATTGATACCTGCTGTTGATTTTCACCACCGTACAACCCGCCACAAACTAAAGTTTCATCCCAATCATCTGGACGAGTGGCGGTCTTCCACCGTGCGTTTTTCAAGGCACGTTTTTCGCACATCCATTCTTTAGAATCAACTTCCAGCAGCAGTATTTCTGAACCGATACGACAACATAACCTTCAAGAAAAAAGTATATTCCTTTTTAAAAGGCCGGCAGCACACCTGCAATGCCGCTGGTGTTGTGGGTGATCCTGGGCGGCGGTAGTCACCATCAGGTGAGCCGCATGCTCGTTTGTAAAAAATAAATGCAAATATAATTAGTAAAAAGAGGACGAGAGATTCACCATCAGTTGTTATTTATGTCAATTCATAGCAGGCTAGTGTATAGAAAACTAAGAACAAGGAATAACATAGAAGGAATGATAAAATAAAAACTAAATCGTATAGTTGCCTCATTTCTTCTTATGCAAATATAATTACTAAAAAGAGGATGAAAGATACCAGATTCTTCATTCATTGCAGGCTAGTGTGAAGAACATTTTCTACACACTAGCCTGCAATGAATTAAGAAAAATAACAACTGATGGTGTATCTTTTGTCCTCTTTAATAATTTTTTTATACAACTTAGAATGGCAAACAAGCTGACGGCCCACCTGATGGAAAGTGGTAACCGTCGTCTATAGGCATGAGCAGTACCATAGACATAACAGAGTATACTGTTTCGCCCATGATACCCCCTATGCGTTGCCATTCCTAAGGACTCAGGTGTTATTCCTCTGTACCCAGTAAATTCACGCCATATCCCACCCTTCAAACCGAAACACAGCCATGCAAACAACTGCTTCACGGTAGAAACACGAATGGGACAGAGGTACCCAAGCAATCGACTTTTGTACAAAGCCTCCCTCTGGTTCTAATTCTATATTTATAACAAAAAAGGAGACAACCATATGATTTACAGTTTTTATTTTATCATTCCTTCTATGTAATTCTTTGTTCTTAGATAGAAAATGTTTGATATTTCAATTATTTGTCAATGAAAAATTTGACATTACTAGATTATATATTTAACACAGTTTATGTAGAAAGTATGCAAGCAGGTTGCATCTGTATTTGGTAGCGTTATACAGTTGTATAACATTTTCTATATACTAGCCGGCTATGAATTGACATAAATAACAACTGATGTGTCAGAGATGATCTTTTGTCCTTTTTTTACTTATTATATTTGCATAAGAAGAAAGGAGGCAACAATTTGTTTTACAGTTTTTATTTTATCATTCCTTCTATGTAATTTCTTGTTCTTAGGACAGTAGTCATCAATGAAGTCATATTACCCATGAATGTTATATTATCTATATGACATTATAACTGAAAGGCATAGAAAATTTCGTGGGTGTGATCTACCAAATTTATCATCCAAAATTTGACAGACTTTAAAAATGTCTTTGATGATTACTTATCAAAAACATTTAATATAGGTAAATAAATATTTTGTATAAATAATTTTTTATAATATAAAATTTATTTTTCAGTGAATGTAAGCAATTATAGTTTTATAAAAAAACTTTAACGTTTCATTATGGCATTTATGTACTACTTCTTTTGCTGCATTTTTTAATACAACGGAACGCATGAAAAAAAAATATCAGGTAAAATGGCTGTTCTGTAAAAACAATATGGCAGATAGTATTGTCATATTAGATTTCCCAGAAATCCTAGATTAATTAATGTAATTTTTGTGTTCATATTGTTCAAGAATGGTTTGTTGTTTTTTTTATTAATAGTGGTTCTATTTGCAAAATATAAAATTTTCTAATTTATCTTAAGTGTAACGAAACCCGTTTTTTGGACTAAATTTTGAAGTATAACGGAGGACGGCGAATGATTACGGTGCCGTAGTGTCCCTGTTATCCGTGGAACATGTCGTATCCACCTAGACCCCCTCTGGTGCCATATGGAATTGCGCCAGGTGTAGTCACCATGCCAATGGCTACCCATGTAAGTATTACTGTTGAATATCTGGAATATTTATTAACCTCACTTTACTATCATCTTTACTTTATACCTCTGGGTCTTTATAGCTATATATTCTCTAGTTTAAACAATTTAACCTTATATTCTTATTTGTTACAAAATATTGATGGAATTCATTTCACTTGTTAGGTATCCAAGCAGAATTGTTTGGTCTATAATCATTCATAATTATTTACAGGTATTAATTTTTTTTATAAGCAGTACAAAAAATAAGAGAGCTGCTATTAGCTCTTTAGATATATGTTCATCTATCAAGTTGCCATGGTTATTAATAAATGTATTATATCAGTATTTGGTGATAGCAGATGCATTGTTATAGTACATTTTAGTTGTTCGTTTAGTGGGTGGCTATGTATTACGTTGTGAATAGCTGTAATTAGCTAGCATTTAGTAGTTAAATGTTTAGTTTATAATTGATAGTTACTATTATAGACACTAGAGATGAAACAGACAGCAGTTTGGCCGGATACTGGATATTTGGTCAACCATGTGGCCGAAAAGCCGGATATCCAGCTATGTCAATGCAAATTGATCGCAATCATAACTTTTATTCTTGGTGGGAAACAAATGCTAAACAATACCCAAATTTAACAAAGTTTGCTAAAATCTATCTTTCGGCAGCACCTTGCAGCAGTGTGTACAGCGAAAGACTTCTGAAGCTGGCCTTATTTATGAAGAGAAGTGAAACCTCTTGCTACCTCTCAATACAAAGAAATTAGTATTTAATAAATACTATTTATTCACCATAGTTTGCCCTTAGTGCAGTATGAGTACTAATTAATTAATTTTCTTTCTATTACATTCATTTACTATTGTGTGATTAAAATTTTAATTCAGTAGGATGTCTATCCGGTCAAATAGTAGTTATCAGGTTTATGGTCAGATAGTATTAAGGCCGCCAGATAGTCCTGATACCATATAGTTATTGGATATCCGTTTCATCTCTAGTATCTACTGATTGATAAACTAGAAAATAAAGTATTTTTTGACTTCATTTTGATTGCTTTGTGATGGAACATATCAGGGGTGGGAATACAGTAGAATCACAATTATCCAAATCAAATAAAACTAGGGGTATTCCCTATAATAGAAAATTCAAAAATTAATATTTTTTTATTATGTAAAGAGTTTTACATATATCAATTGGACAATATGATTTAAAAAATTATGAGCTATAAAGATACTACCTATTTACCCAATTAATATACAAAACTATTTCTAAATTTGTAATTAGAGCTAGAGATCAATGTTCCGAAAATCAAGATTCTACTGTAATTACTTTGTAGTTGATTCTGAGGTGGCAACTCTTTAAATCTCTCTTTTATCCTAGTATTTTAATTTGATAATTTCACAAAATGACCAAGTTGAACACTCTAGACCTCATGGGGGGCAGGCAATGTATACAAAATAAAACTTAATATGGTGTAGGATAGGTACAAACTAAAGGTGGCGGATAAAAACGAGATGTGTATAGGACAGAAAATGAGATAGGCATAACGTGTTTTATCTGATATGATGGTAATATGATAGTGAATGTAGGTGGCTTGGGATTCCTTATCATAGTCTATGGAGGAGCCCTATGTTCAGAAGAGGGCAGTTAATGGCTGTTATGATTATGACTGTTTTATGGACCATTATAAACCAAAATTGTAATAATTTTGACATAACTCTATTAGGAAATTAGTTCAACTTGGTCCAATCAAGATATTGCTGTGATACCGAATTGAAATTTTAATTTTAGAGATGGGTTTACAGAAACAGCACCTCAATCAACCCCATTTTTTTCTCATAAATGATCTTGTCAAATGTTTTGAGTTAAAAAAATTATATCTTGATATTTCAGAATTTATTAAGATATAGAAATTATATGTTGTTTTTATCAAATTTAGTTCAATATATGTATATATTTGCTGCTTTTATTAAAAAATCACTAGTTATAAAAATAATAGATTGCATAATAAATACATATTTACATAATTAATGCATAATACCATTTCTAAATCAGTAATTAGAGCTGTGAAGAATAAACCGTGAAAATTAAGGGATAATCGAACATTTATATAATGTTTGGATAATGCAGATTCTACTGTAATAATGTGAACTTAAATTTTATAGTAAATCAAATTACTCCTGTGCTGCTTGCTAATGTGTATTGACACAAATTTATAAAATCAAGTTTTGTTGAAAGAAGCCATAGTTGAGTTATAAGTCTGTTTTTCTCAGCGGAAATTGTATTTCAAATGGGTGATGGAATCTTAAAAAATGCTTGTATTTATGTTCACTTGAATAAAAAATATTTTTTCTCTTAAAAAAATTTTGTTGGGTACCCCTATCTGAAAGGTGTGTTGTTAGTAAGCTGCCCTTTTAGTAGCCATATGCTCTAATCAGATACACCTCAATGTGGTCCCCCCTGGTAGCATGATGCGTGGGGTGTCGTAGGAGGCTGTGTGTGATGTGGAGGTAGTGATTAGAGTGGTGTGCGGCAGGTGATGGTGGGCGCGTACGGCGGCGGTGGACGCGGTGCGCTGCTGCCGGCGCCGGCGGCCGCCAAGGTCATTTCGCGTCCGCCCACCAGGAACAACGGTGCCAAGGATGCTGACGGCCCACCCGTCACCATTTTTATAGGTAACGCACACGCACACACACACGTGCACGCACATGCACACGCACACGCGCACTCTCACACACGCACACGCACACGCACACGCTCACGCCCGCAAACGTGCACACACAAACGCGGGCGTACACGCTTTTACATACAGTAACTCATAAAACTCATAAAATACTAAACAAACCTATTTTAACTATTAAGAGTGTTTTGTTACTGTCTTTCAAATTGAAATTAGCACAAAAAAGACAAAACACTTTTATTGCAAAAATAGGTTTAAAGAAGATTAGACATTTTTGAACAGGAAGGTAAGTATTTTAGAATTTTTAATGTATATTAACAATAGACAAAAAGTTATCAGTGTGTACAATGTACTTTTGACTTTTTTCTTAATTGAGAAACAATTGAGATTTATGCTCATTTTTCTCAGCTTAAATTGCATTCGGAATATGTGATAGAAACATAAAAAAATAACTATTTAAAAGTGTATATGCTCGTAATTAAGTCTACAAAATTATTATTATATTTAGATATTATTAATTTGAACTTATTAGAAATTTGGAGAACTTGGACCAGAACGTAAGACGAAGGTATTTAACCAGTGCGTGTTGCCAGTGATGACTACCGAAACGTAAACGTGGTCCTACACGATTGCCCGTATGTAAAAGCTACAAGCTACTCCATAGCCCGCTGACTAACTTGTAGCTCGGAGTCACTTTGCGTGATATAATCCGAAATGAGGATATCCGCAAAAGAACCAAAATAACCCACATAGCTCGAAGGATAAGCAAGCTGAAGTGTCAATGGGCTGGTCATATACCGATAACTGATGGGAAAAAAGGTCCTTGAATGGTGACCACGTATGGGTAAACGCAGTGCAGGACGAGCTCCCACTAGGTGGAGGTACGACCTGAAATGCGTTGCAGGGAGTCAGTGAATACAGGTGGCTCAGGGCCGTTCTTTATGGCAGTCTATGGGGGAGGTTTATGTCTGGCAGTGGACGGATAACGGCTGAAATGATGATGATTAAAAATTACTCTTATTCTTTCACTTAAATCAGATGTTATGCTGCCTTATGTTTCACTGTCATACCCCATGTTATGAACTGAAACACAGCTGTATGCATGCAATCATAGCTGCCATGACACAATGAATTAGCGAGCATAGCACTGCGAGCAGGCCGAGTGCCGAGTAGTGAGTAGTGAGTAGTGAGTGGGCGTCGCTCCGCAGGCAACATCACGTCGCGCGCGCCCGACCCGATGGTGCGCGCGCTGCTGGGCGCGTGCGGGCCCGTGCTGTCGTGGAAGCGCGTGTCCACCTTCGGCTTCTGCGAGTTCGCCAGCCCCGAGGCGGCGCTGCGCTGCGTGCGCCTGCTGCACGAGCGTCCGCTCGCCGACAAGAAGCTGGTCGCGCGCACCGACGGCAAGATGCAGGCGCTCGTCGACACCTACAAGAGTCAGTATCCCTCGCACTGCCCTGCGCGGCACAGTACACTGCGACACAGTGCAGTACAGTGAACTGCTTGCGTTCGCAGCCGAGCAGCGCTCGCGGCTGGGGCTGGCGGAGGAGGCGCCGGGCACGGAGGCGGCCGGCGACGGCTACCTGGACGCGCGCCAGCGCTCGCTCGACGAGGCGGCCGAGCGCCGGCTGCGGCAGATCATGCAAGACTACCAGGACGACATCAACAACTACGAGATGCTGCAGAAAGGTAACCTGTTCTTTTGTTAATTATAAATTATCCAATGGGTGGCGATGTATCACAAACATATAATGTTCCCTTACAGAGGAGGCGATCTCGAAAACGGCCCGCGTGCTCGAGGAAGCGGACATATCGGAGGAGAAGCGGGACGTGATCCATCGTGAGATCGGCAAGTTTCGGGAGAGCATGAAGGTAGGCCCGCTCTGCCCCCCTCGCCCCTGCCACCATTTCCCGGTCCCAGTCGCCACTCACAACCGACTCAACTTCTACTGTTTACTGTCGCCAGAGGGCCGGCCGCACCCACACGATTCCGCTATACTCCGTTGTACGATATTTAGATCATGAGTACGATGTCGCGACTGATATGAAACGCAAAGACACTCGTTTTTTAATATTAAAGATACCGCCGAATTTAATGAGAGATTTACATTGATTTTAATATTGTTATTGACATTATATCTTTCATATTATTATTATGTCGCGTGCCAAATTTTAAAAGTATTTCTACAATCGAAATATATGTTTTTAAAAGAAACAGTCTCTTTATATTTTAATTTATATAGAAACATACAATAATATAATATTATGGAAATGTAAGAGGCTACTAGACAAGTGTCAAAATTAGCAATACGATGGTTATACTGGATGAGCCTCGTTACTAAACTCGTCCTGTATACCTAAGAGTACTTATCGATGAGCGTGCTGTGTGATCGCCCGGTTTAGTGTGTAGTCTCGCGGTGCAGTGTACAGTCGCGGGGAGTAGTATTAAGTCGCGCAGTGCAATGTACAGTCGCGGGGAATAATCTAGAGTCGCGCGGTGCAATGTACAGTCGCGGGGGTAGTGTTCAGTCGCGCGGTGCAGTGTACAGTCGCGGGGAGTAGTGTAGAGTCGCGCGGTGCAGTGTACAGTCGCGGGGAGTAATCTAGAGTCGCGCGGTGCAGTGTACAGTCGCGGGGAGTAATCTAGAGTCGCGCGGTGCAGTGTACAGTCGCGGGGAGTAGTGCTCAGTCGCGCGGTGCAGTGTACAGTCGCGGGGGTAATGTTCAGTCGCGCGGTGCAGTGTACAGTCGCGGGGAGTAGTGTAGAGTCGCGCGGTGCAGTGTACAGTCGCGGGGAGTAGTGTAGCGCCGCGCCGGTGTAGAGTAGGCGTGTGGTGCGGCGGCGCGGGGCGGAGGCCGCCGTAGTCGCAGTGCAGCGCGCCGCCGACGGTGAGTCCTTGCCTCCGATATGATACAGACACCCGCTCCTATATGTCGCTCAGTGCTCGGCGCTCGGCGCTCGCCGGCCGAGCCGTTCCACCGTCACTGTCCGTGTCACGTCACGCCACGCTTTTGTCATTATTTGCTTTTACCAGATTATAACTACAAATATATATCTAAAAATATTTTACAATGCATCCTCTACTACTGATATTATATTTATTGTCTAATGGTAGATGCCAGATGATTTTAAATATTGCTTGCAAAAAATTGTTTTCAATCTTGATAAAAAATAGTATAGGACCAACAATGGAGTTACCGTTTTATTAAAATGAGAATCATTGAAATTTCTTCACACCTGGAAAGATATAGATAGTACAGCTATAAGTCGACATCAGCCAAATTGAGAACTTTATTTTTTATATTTTTATTTATTTTGCGTCACAGAGCCATTGGCTCGGTCGACTTATTGTTGGATCTGCAGACATTTAGTTATGAAAGTTCTCGTATAGGTTGAAAGTTATTGCAATGACAAAAATTAAAAATGAGATGTGTGTGGGTTTGGTCATTTAGACAGAATGGATGGAGTGCTCACTAGGAAAGTAATATATTGAATGAGAATTAGTAGAGACGTCGGCAGCGGCCAGCGTACAGGGGCGTGCGGCGACCGAGTAACGTGTTTGAAAGACCAATTATAACTATTCGTATCTAGCGAGCTTGTGTACGAGTATAGATCGCATCTATCTACTTACTGCAAAAAATTTCTACCATTTGTTTATTGCATAAGGTGATAAAAAATTTGAATTGAATGTATCTAGGCATTACTAACAGTATTTATTTGATAAATTTACATAATCGCAGGCAGTGACGGTCGAACTTATTTTTTATATTTTTTTTTCATAATTTTTATATGTGTTGTAACATACACGCATCATACGATGCCACCATCGCGGCGAACTCGCCGCGAGGCGGCTCTCAACTACATGGGACTTATCCGAATCAACGTTACTTAGAGTGCACTAGTTGTTCTGTCTTTCGAGTTACTATTAATCTTTCTACTCATCGACACCATATATTGTAGTGTATTTACTCGGTCATTCTATATAATTTCATTGAAATTTGGCCTACATCCGATCGATACGGTTCATAATCGCCGATGCCCACTGAAACCGCGTACTGTGGTGAGCACACCGCTGGCGCCCTGCGCGTAGTCGGCTGGGCCGTCCGGGCCGTGCGGGCCGTTCGGGCCGGAGAGCGGTGTGGCGACCGGAGCCGTATCGAGCGGAGGGCCGGCCGCCCGCTGCCCTGGTGAGTGGCGGCGGGCGGCCGCGCGGCCGGCCGCGCCCGCCGCGCCGGGTGGCGGCGGGCGGCGGCGGCGGCGGGCCCGGCCGGCCGCGTCCGCAGCGGCGCCGCGCCGGGAGCTCCGCAGCGGCCGCCGCCGGGCAGCGCGCCGCGCCGGGGACCGCGCGTAAGTAGTGCGTGCGCGAGCGAGACCGCCCTAGGTGACGCAGGTGGCAGCGGCGGCGCTCGCTCCCGCTCTGCTTCCGCTTGTGCCGCGCTCGCCGCACGTCGAACCGACTCCTGCTGTCGCGTCCACTTTACGAATAAGCCCCTTTGATTTAGTTTTTCACTCGGATGCCTCCAGTGGGATGTTGAATTTCAGATATGGGCCCTATGTGCCGAGTTGCGGCGAGTGCGCCCGCGGAAGCTACTTTGTTTACGATTGCATGTGGGACCGTTCCGCCGCCGTAGTACAGCGCCCGGTCCACGCCCGCCCCGCATCCCACGGTCCCCCCTCCACTTTTCCCCATATCGGGTCACCCCTTACTGATGAACCCTTGCATTATATTTTTCTGATCATACAATATGTATTCGGGTATTATTTGAGCGCACAGTTCGTACAAGATTCCGATAAATATACACAATTTAAAGTTCTTAAAAAAGTAACCATCTTCAGTTTTAACGATTACATGTGAATGAAAGTAAATTCTATCACCAAAAATTTCATAAAAATCGGTTTCCAACTGGCGAAGATATTGCGTGGTATGCATAAAAACCCCGTGTAATTTTAGAACGTTTCGATGTCAGTTAAGGACCGATATATAGAAGCACAGTTCTACTGTCACTTGTTCGTACACCACTGAAATGTGGAAGGTAAAATAATTCTCATGAGTTCTGTGTCGAAGGTTTTTAGGAATTCTCACAGAAAAATATAAAATATATCTAAAATTTGATCAGACCTGTGGACATCGTTAATAGGATATGTCTGTGGAAAATAGTCTCCTGGCTGTGCTGTTACTTACCACGACGAGAGACAATTGTCAGGATAGGGAAAATATAAAATTATAATGTAAAAATTTGACGTTCATAAGCGGCTAAAATGTCCTACATGAATAAATGATTTTTGAATTTTGAATTTTGATACGCCCGTTCATTATTTGTGTCAATGTGTAGACAAGGAAATGAAGTTTGGGACTGAAGTTAAGCTACAGCAGTAGAACTTCTTTACGATTACTATGCCTCTATATTCTATATTTTCTTTTGGCATGTTATTGAACAACCTTGACATGTCTATATCGACAGCAGGACTCGCCACAATAAATGATTTTTATAGTATTTTACAGTACTTTTTAAAGTACATCTTTTGTTAAAAAGACATGCCATTGCTTACTAAATGTGCCAAGTAAGGAAAAATAGTTTATTAAAGCTAAGTCCGAAATCAATCCAGTACTTATTAACAATATATTTGTTTACTTACATTTTTCATGAGATTTGTATACTATTCTTAAAAAAGTTTCATTTGAAAAAAAAATGTTTTAATAGACGTCGCAACTGTATTCATTATATTTTTTTTTTTATCAAAATTTGCTTTAAATAAAGTGAAAAGAGTTTACAGATTATATCGTTTTGGGTTCAGTTTAAATTGAAGAACTCGGTCGCAGGTAGTTTTATGGTAATGAATAATTTTTAAAATATCGTTATAATTTCTTAAAGACAGAGATACTTGTGACCCCTATCGCATTATACCTCCAGAAACGGCCAACGGCTGTCTCTACTGACGAATAGAATGTTGTGGAAAAGTAGAATAGAGTAGGAAGGATATCCAAGTAGTGGCACTGTTATACTCGAGGGATGTGACACCGGGGCGGGTAGTGGACGGCGGAGAGGCGAGGGCGACGTTTGAGCGTGGCGTGTCGTTGGATGCAGGAGGAGGCGGAAGTGGTAGTACGGCGCAAGCGCGAGCCCAAGGACGCCGACAAGGACAAGGACAAGGACGGCACCAGGGAGCGCGAGCGCGAGCGGGACCGCGAGCGCGACAGGGACCGGGACCGCGCCGACCGGGACCGCGATCGCACCGACCGCGATCGGGACCGGGACCGCGACCGCGACAAGGAGCGGCGCAGGCGGAGCACTTCCAGGTAACGCTATCTCACAGTAGTAGTGCTTTCCTGATTCGTGTAGCTCGTCGCAACATATATTGTACTCATTAGGTATATATTTAAGTCCGAAGTACGACAACGTCGGAAATATTTAAGAAACTATTGAACAGTTTTCAGTATTATTGGTGCATTATTTTGTAAGTGCTCCGAATATATTTATGATACGAGGACTGCCTTTTGAGTCGTGTCGTTTGCTAACCTCGCGCGTTTATTAAAAAAAAAATAGCTTTTTCATCTTTTTGAATTTAGAATTCAGAAACTAAAGAATGTTTTCAGATTGGTCGAATAATTTTATTGTATCGTCTATTCAAAGGTGACAAATTGGTTGTAAAAATGGAAATATCTAAAGAAAATTTGCGTGCGATCATTTTCTACAACTTTCAAAGGGCATTATCGCGTTTATATAGTAATTTAAATACGTAATCCTACTTTATATGTATGTGATATATTCTTTAGCAATATACAGGATGTAAGCCTCTTAGTGATAAATAGAAATGAAGCACAAGTACTTTATTGTACTATTAAATCATATATTTACTTGTTTTACTTTGTATTTGATATATAACAAATATTATAACATAAATACCCAACTTCTGTTAATCCATTCACACTTATTCAAATATAGCTTCTTTAGGACTTCCACCAACAATAATTGATATATATTTTATATAATGACCACGTGGTTCACTATACTTGTTCACTCTTGATACGGCAGGGAGCTCCGCTCTGTTCAACGGATGGACACGAAGTGTCTCCCCACCCGAATAACAATCTTTTATATCTACAGGGCCGAATTCGAGTGAACAAGTCGGCGAGACCACGTGTTCTTACAATTTCATTACTTTTTATTTAAGTAGATATCATGATAATAAATAATTATAAAATTAATTAAAATATAAATTAGTGTTCTATATACATTATAAGAATAATTCATTACAAAATTTGGTATAATAACAATTTTAACATTTTATTATATTTAAAGTAGTTAGTCTGATTTTTATTAATAAATGTAGGTACACATTTTGACACAAGATGTTTAAGAAAATTGATATAATTACATGATATGATAAATCCAATACTTTCTCCCTTTCAATACCAAAATTATGCTTGCACAATCTATTCTTCTTCCAATTCTGGATTATGCCGATGTCTGTTTCTTAGATGTGACCGAGGAGCTGCTAAATAAGCTTGAGCGGTTGCAAAATTTAGCAATAAGGTTTATTTTCAGCTTACGAAAATATGATCATGTCTCTGTTTAAAGTGGCTCCCAATTAGACATCGTCATGAGACACATGTCCTAGCGGTCCTATATAATATCCTTAATAATCCCAATTCTCCTTCCTACCTTCGTTCCCGGTTCCAATTATTACCTCCTCCTTCCAGACCTAGACGTCTTTGTCTGAACCAGTCCAGGGTACTGAAGCTTCCCAGCTGTAAAACCCATTTTATGGGTAACTCATTTGCATATCGTGCTGTACAGCTGTGGAATAAACTTCCCGTGAATATTCAGAATAGCTCGTCTAGCAGTTCCTTCAAAAAAAGATTAAAATCATTTTATCTTTCCAATTTAATTTAAATATAAAAATGATTAGAGGACTGTCATCATTGTGTTCTCTTGTATCTGATATTTATATGTTGTATTTAACGTGTGTATGTATGTATGTATATGTATGTGTATGTGTATATGTATATATATGTGTATGTGTATGTATGTATATATGTGAATGCATGTGTGTATATATATAATTATTTATAATTTATCTAAATATTTATTTAAATTTCTGTCTTGCACTACTACTGCCCACTCACTACTTCCTATGCCACTGCGTTAGGTTGACTGGAAGAAATCTCTTTTAGAGATAAGTTCGCCTTTGCTAACATTGTTATTAACTTATTGTTGTTACTGTATGTTTTTGTGCAATAAAGAATATATATATATAATTTAAAATAAATACCTAACACATGCAAAAGTATATTACATATTGCGGAGAATTCTGTGAAAAACGATAAACGGTAATAATATATTGGATTGTCTATACATATTTTAAACGACACAACTTAAAAGGCAGCCCTCGTATACAGCAAAACTCAGTGGTTAATAATAAATAAACAATGTGCAACCATCGACAGAAAAATGCTTATATCTCGGTTTGTACCTTTGGTCGCCTGGCTGTATTATGCATACCTCCAGCTACAGGCAGCTCCGCAAGCTCCAGTCACAAGTCACGCGCCGCGTGCGCATAGTGCGCACTGCGCACTGAATTCCCGCTAACTGTTATGTACTCACTTAACGGAACAGTTGTTATATCGTGACTATTCAAAAATGCTTGTAATTAAGTTTATTTCAATAAAAAAATATTATTAAATAGTAACGAGTTGTTCTCATTACATATGTTGAGCTATTTCAAAGTAATATTTGTGCTTAACTGTGGAATCGATTATTTAACCCCCTAGGTTTGCTGGTATAGATTGTACATATTTTTGAAAATGTTGAACAGGACAAAGGACCGGCGCGATGAACGGGACAAGGAGCGCGAACGGGAACGCGAAGAGAGGGAGCGGGACAGGGAGCGCGAGCGGGAGAAGGAGCGGGAGAGGTACGCGGCGGCGCGACGTCGCACACTCGTTACATAACCTCACACATACACCTAGTTTATCCTTAGAGGTATTTTGCGTGTTTATTTTGCATATTTGTTTTTTGTTGCGAAAACAAATGGCAGCAGTAATGTGTCAAATAGCCTTGTAGCAGGTTGTAATTGTTATGAGTGAGAGGGACAGTATCATAATTAATGAGCGTTAAGTTTCTTGTTCACGTGAGCGATACGATTGCAGGGAGGCGCGCGAGCGAGAGAGGGAGCGCGAAATGCGCGAGAGGGAGAGAGAACGGGAACGCGAGAGGGACAGGGAGAGGTAAGGTCTTTTCCGCGAAATATCCTATGAATCTGATTTTACCGACTGAAAAAGTTGAAAACATAACCGTGTAAGTAAATAAAAACTATGACAGCTCAAGCGGAGTACGTTTAACTGCGAATGGAGGATGTCAAGATTGACCTTCGCAGGGCACTTCAGAGGCCTACGTGTGTAACAAAGGTAACCTAGATACGTACTGTTTTCTACTAGTCGATTATCCCTGCAGAATAGGTGTTTTACCCTACTAGGACTCGAGCATAAGTCTCACCCACACATTCATAAGTCGAGACCCATGAGGCGTTTGTAGTTAGTGTTGGTTCGCCGCCAGCGCGCGGTACGCTGTCGGCCCGCGATAACATGGACCTTATCGCTGCCTACTTGCCTATTAAATAAAGAAAACGATTTACTCCTCACTTAGTGATGCGTGCCCGGCGTTACTTGTTATATCTAAAGAACTATACATATTATTATATTTATTTGTACATACATTTTTATAATTAATTTAGGTGCAATTATTTCATAACATTTTTGTTCATCGCAACTTTTTCCTCAAACCCAGTTAATATTAAACGATAGAATAATTAACTTTTATTACGCAAATTGTATAATTGATTGATCGATATTATACTTAAATCAAATTAGCTACAATAAGTCAGCTTTAGTATTTGCACAAATTGTAGTTAATGTTTGTGTAGTGCCTGTATACAGGAGTAACACTACCTTTATATAGCATAAATGAAATGTAACAATATATTGCTTTTTAATTGATTTTTATCAATAAAAAAATAATAAACCTCTGCGCTGTTGAAATGTCTGTCACCGCAGGCGCAGGTCCTTATGATATTCTTAGAGCGAATGAAAGACGGACGTACAATGTACGTTTGTTATTTCGTAACGGGCAGTAAATTGTACATGGCAACGAGCTGCAACGTAACCGGCCGCCAAATTGCTCGAGCGCCACTCTCAGTATTTTGTCGACCCACTTTAATACCGCTGTTGAAACAATTATACGAAGGAATTATAACTTAAAAATATGGAAAATATATACGTACTTATAATATCTACGTGCGGCTGCAGCACGCACTTATGTTGTTAGACATTGACACGTCAAATACTAACAGAAAACCATTCAAATTGACGTAATATTCAACTGAATCGTGTTTAATTGTGTAAGTGTAGTGAGGAGTAGAGTACGTTATAGCGGGAGTGCAGCACGTGCGTAGTGCGGTTGTGGTGTAGTAGTGTGGGTGTGCGAGTGGAGTGGCTGCAATGTCGCCTCAGACGTTGCTCGCGCTGCATCCATACATCCGCACGCGCTACGAGATCGAGAGGGCCAAGCGTGATCTCTGCACGAGGTCAATGTCTTTTATGTTTAACATATTAATAGGAAATTGAAGTCTCCCTGAACATTAGTTGCTTGTGGAGTAAAGCGCCGTTCACACATGTCGGGGTATCTCAGGCTTGTCGTCGTTCGATGTGCGATGGTTATTACGTTCAGTTGGATAGGTTATTATATATATATATATATATATTCTCCTCATCCATGATACCGTTTTTCGTTTGGCACATCCTTGATGGGGCACGGAGCTCAGACGGCTAGAGGCAAGGCCCGGGCTCTGGGCAAGTGTGAATCGCGCTTAATGATTATATTTGTTGTTGGTGACGGTTGGTACGGGGCGCTATATTTTTTTTATGTCGACATACTACGAGTATAGGTATATACACTACACTTGTACGCCTCCACAAATATTCTTGTTAGATTAATCCTAACCATGTTCTCCCTATTGAGGTGAAAGTCTATTTGTATTATTTATTTCCGTGCAATCAATTGATAATGCAAGTAGTCAGAGTTAAACCTAAATATATTATATATAAGTATATATATATATATATATTGTAGTTATATTTAACACGAAAGTTAGTGTGTAACAGCTACCTTTGTATGACTGAGAACTAAACCGATTTGGACAAAACAATTGCAGAGATAAAATAAATATGTTTGTACCTGTATTACCGGCTGATGTGGTTTGTCACACGTATATTATTTGAATTCCAAGGACGGACACGAGGCTTGTGACGTCACCAAAGATTCCACGCCCACGAAGTCGCGGCTAAACATTATAGTGAGTAAACGAAATGCACAAAAGTAATGGTCACTTGGCAGACTGTAACATAAATTACAATTCTTTTACTTGATATTACAGAAATGTATGTCTCACCACTCGTTCCCACCCACGCGACTAGTTGCTGCACATACCGTCTGCGAGATTTGTAGAGAATCGTGTCGTACATAATCGTTTGCCTTGATGAGAACGAGCCTCGTTCTCCTGAGCGAGCGCACAGCCAACGTGGAACACGTGTCGGTATGAACGCGCCGGACGGGTGGGAACCGGTGGTGCTTATCATAATGTTAATTATTATACTGAAGTATGCAATGATTCCATGTGACTAGACATATTGTTACATTGTTTGTATGTACACAGCAGGCATGGCGCTAATTAATGTTTTGAAGTGCAGTCAAACATTTGAATTTCTAGAAGTGGAACGCATTATATTTTTTTACAGAGAACGCGAACGGGAACGCGACCGGGAGCGATCGCGCGAGCGCGAACGCGAGCGCGAGCGCGAACGTGACCGCGAACGCGAGCGGTCGCGCGGCCGCAGCCGCAGCGAGGCGGACTCGCGCCGCGAGAAGGAGATGGAGGAGGAGGCCAGGGAGAAGAAACGCCTCGAGAAGAAGGCGCGGGAGAAGGAGGCCGCCTACCAGGAGAGGTAACGTGCCCCACGCCCGCACCATATACGTGCATAATACATACTCGAACAGTGTTATATCTTTGCGGGTAAAGATGATAACTGTAACTAATAATTACAACATCGTCATATCTGTATTACAAGCACGAGGCAAGTGTGCAATATATATATCTATTTATTTCTTAACGGCGGATACTTTATGTGTTTCGACAAATTTTGTCCTTATGTACATTTTTACTATTTTATTATCTTGACTAAGAATGGGGTCACCTGAATAAGTTTCCTGTTTTATACGTTTTTATAATTATTTCTTAGAAATATAACTATTCTGTTACATTTATATTGGTTATAGGAACTGTTTACTATTTAAATTGATAATTTTATAAGAAACATACATAAAAAAGGGGAATCACACGAAATGGTCACATGTCAGTTTAGTGTTTAGTGTGGCAGGTTATAGTTACGGTTTTTGGAGAGGGGTGTAAAGTTAAGAAGAGTTGATTTAGTGAGAGTGTCGGAGGTGGTGCAACAGATGTCGTAGTAAGAGGTGGTGGCGCGCAGGTTGCGCACGTGGGAGGGCCGCGAGCGGCGCAAGGCCAAGGAGTACGAGAAGGAGCGCGAGCGCGAGCGCTGCCGCGAGGAGGAGCGCGAGCGCGAGGCCAAGCGCCTCAAGGAGTTCCTCGAGGACTACGACGACGAGCGCGACGACCACAAGTTCTACAAGTTAGTTCCTCTCCACTTACTTCTACTCTCCTGCACGCCACCACTACCACTCCACACGTTCACTTCATTCATGTTATAATTAATAATTAAATTCGCGACGCGACAATATTTCTGTCTTCGACAGACTTCAAAAATAAAGTTTTCAGATTTTTTTTCTTACCTTATAATTCTATAAGTTTTAAATGAATTTGGTAATTTTTTTATCTGAAAACATATATTTACCTACGTTTTGATCTCGTAGAAATTTTATTAAAATTGGTTCAATACTTTAGTTTTCAGATCAATATAACTGTTTTTGTCGATTGAACTCGATTGCTTTTAAGCGTCACAATCTTTAATTATTGAAACTTACGAGTGGAATGGCAAACGCTGAAGTAGCGCGTTCTGCTATACGAGGGCGAGTCGATAATTCCGTGACGTTTTGAATGAAACACAGGTTTTTAGATAAAAAGTTATTTTATTTTTCAACGTAGTCTCCTTTGAGCTGTATACACTTAGGCCAACGTTTCCAATTTTTTTTATCCCTTCCGAAAAATATGATTAGTCGAGGTCTTTAAAATAGGCATTTGTTTGTGAGATGACTTCGTCGTTGGAAGCAAATCTCTTTCCGCCGAGCCATTTCTTCAAGTTTAGGAACAAGAAATAGTCACACTGGGCTAGATCGGGATAATAGGCCGGAAGAGGGAGCAAATCGTAGCCTAATTCATGGATTTTTGCCATGGAAATAGCATATGTGTGCACCTGTGCATTGTTCTGCCGGAAAAGGACTGTTTTCTTGGCCAAGTGCGGTCGCTTTTTTTCAATGCCTCATCAAATCGATCCAATAAGTTGCTGTAATATTCGCCATTGATAATTTTACCTTTTTGAAGGTAGTCAATGTGGATAATACTGCGTGCATTCCAAAAAATAATCGCTATGACTTTATTGGCTGACAAACTCACCTTTGCCTTCTTTGGCGCCGATTCACCCCGAGAAATTCACTGTTTTGACTGCTGTTCGGTCTCCGGTGTGTTGTGATTCGTCCACGGTTACGAAACGCCGCAAAACTCGTCTATATTGCGATTGAACAACGCCAAACATTTCTGCGAAATTGTTACACGGTTGCGTTTGTGGTCGATTGTGAGCAAACGCGGCACCCATCTTGCGAAAAGCTTTGTCATATCCAAATAATTATTTAAAATTGAAACTACTGAGCCACGTGAGAAGCCATAGGCTTCCAAAATCTCTCACACTTTTAATCGTCGATCGGCTAAAACTATATCGTATATTTTTTCAATTGTTTCGGACGTGGGGACTTCAACTGGGCGTCCAGAACGTTCGGTATATTTTATGCTTGTACGGCCATACCGGAATTCAGTAAACCATTTTTGTAACCATGTAAATGGATGGTACAGAGTCTCCATAAATATTATTATCAAATTTCGTCTTGGGTTGTGTAATTTTTTCTGTAAAAAAAAAAAATTCAATGAGTACACGAAGTTCACTTTTTCTTTAGTTTTCTTCTCGGTTAATGCGGTAGTCTGATATTAATGGTCGTCAAAAACAAAACAAACGTCGCAGCTTGTTAAATTTTTAACAAGAGTCAACTGATAGATGACTGTTGACGGGAGCAGTGTTGCTATTTCAATTAAGAGGTGGGAAATTTAAGGAGTCACGGACTTACTGATCCGTCCCCGTATAAAGCATGGAGAGAGTGTTTGCATATTTCTTAGTAGTATTTCTGTGTATATATGTAGTTAATTATATGTACAGTATTTTAATAAAAGCGTACATATGTAAATAATTCATACTGAAAGGAGACGTACGTTATTCGGGGAGTCGTAGTGGTATCGTGTGTGCGCGGTGCGCGGTGCGCAGGGGCAAGGAGCTGCAGCGGCGGCTGGGCGCGCGCGTGCGCGAGGCGGAGGCGGACGGGCGCGAGCGCGCGCGCGAGGCGGCCGAGCTGGCGGCGCTGCGGCGCGCCGTGTGGGCGGGCCGCGCCGAGGCGGACGCGGGCGCGCGCGCCGCCTGGGAGCGCGCGCGCCGCCGCCACGACGCGCAGTACGCGCCGCGCCCGCTGCTCGACGCCAGCCTGGCGCCGCCCGCGCAGCGCGCCCGCCAGCGCGCGCGCGCCGCCGCCCGCGAGCGCGAGCGCGCCGCCGCCCGCGAGCGCGCCGCGCGCGACCTGCAGCGCCGCCTGCGCGCGCGCGCCTCGCGCGACCTGCCGCCCGGCGCCGAGCCCATCGACTCGGACGACAGGTGCGTACACGCGCGCGCGGGCGCACGCCTACGATACCTGTTCATTATTTTTATTTCGCATTATCTTCTAACCGACTACGTCCATTAACTTGTGTATATAAACTTAATCTTATAAAATTTATTTCACTTTCAACATAAAAATCATCTTTCTGGCCGAGATATTAAATTTAAGTATACAGTATGGACTTTTTTTTAAAGCTTAAAGTAATGAATATTTTTACTATAGATTTCTATTCCTTTACTTGAAATCATTCAAACAACGCACCTCATATGATTTCCATCATATTTATTGTGATTAATTATTCAAAATATATAGTTACCAAAATAAAACTTAATCCATAGGACAGAATACCTTTTTAATAAGGAAAGAAATTTTAAAAACACGTCAAGAGTATCGACGGTCACTCCAAACATCGAAACTCATAAACTTTACCTCTTTATAATATAATTATAAATTGACATTTGTTTTTTTGATATTGCTCCTTGGAATCAATCGACAGTCTATTTTATAAAAAGCAACAATTGTTGTGTTCAGTAAATATGTGTGTCATAGAGTACAAACAATTGTTAACCGTGCCACTTTAATCTTTGCTAAGTATTTGATTAGGTATGTTTCACAATGAATCGGTAACATGTTTGAATGAACGTTTCCAGCGGCGGCGGCGCGAGTCCGCAGGGCGCGGGCGCGGGCGCGGGCGCGGAGGCGGGGCTGTCGCCGGGCGGGTCGACGACCCCGCCGGGCCCGCCCGACACGCCGCCGCCGCGCCGCGCCGGCCGCGCGCCGCCGCCCGCGCGCAGCCCCGACGGCGGCGCCACGCCGCCCGCGCCGCCCGAGCCGCCCGAGCCCGCCTCGCCCGCCTCGCCCGCCTCGCCCGCCTCGCCCGCCTCGCCCGCCTCGCCAGCCTCGCCAGCCTCGCCGCCGCACAACCACGCGCACGCGCACGCACACGCACACGCACACAACCACGCGCACGGACACACGCACCGCTCACACGTACGTATATACTTTTTTTTTATACCATGAAGATGGCAATGAGCTTGTTTGTAGCTGGTCACATCAAATAATCGGTGTGAGCAATGTGCGACTACCTACGGCTGTTAAACAGCTAACAGTTTGAAGGTAAACGGTCACTGATTTGTGGTAGAGCCACGCTATAATACAATATGGTATTGAAGCATGAATGAGCCGGCTCGACCGGGGAAGTACCACACCCTCACAGAATACCGACGCTAAGTAGCCGTACTTTTAGTGCGACCACATTCCGTATGGTGAGTGAGGGAGTTCGGAGGCCCATCCTATACCTATCCCTTTCCTTACCCTAAAATCCTTCCCCCAACTCCGTCCCCCATCTCTCAATGCCATGGCAGTGAAATTTATAGAAAAAATAACATACCCCAGGGAGGACCAAGGGCAAACAGAGTAAGACTTCTGCGGCATTCCCTTTGCTCAGTGTGAGCCCCTGTAATATTAGGGGAATTCATTCAAACCTGAACGCTGTCCACCACCACCTAGAAACGGCGCGGCCGGCATTGCTCTTCCTCACGGAGACACAAATATCCCCTTCTAACTAAACATCATACCTGACCTACCCGGGCTATAAGCTTGAACATTGTTTTGTTTCGCGTGCCGGTGTATGTGCGTATGTCAGCCAAGATATCTGCTGTCGACGCCTTGGGACTCTTGAAGGTACGGACCTGTCCATTCTATGGTTGTGCGTAGATTGCAATGACCATCCCCGCGTCTATGCGTGCCTATGGTATACAGGTCCCACAGGTCGGTAACACTGAAACCAACTCATTGAGCACGTCCAAATGGCTACAGATTCCCTGCTTGAACAGGTTCCTTTCGCTGAAGTCGTGATTCTTGGCGACTTTAATGCCCATCATGCCGAATAGCTTGGTTCGCGTACAACCGACTATGCGGGAAGATCTGTTCATGACTTTGCTTTGGCTTATGGTATGACACAGCTTCTTTCCTCGCCTACGTGAATCCCTGATGTGTTGGACCATTCACCTTCACTGCAAGACCTTCTATTGACCACCCACCTAGACAACTATGTGATCTCCGTCGAAGCCCCGCTTGCGTCGGATCATTGTTTGGTGCGGAGCAAGGTGCCTCTTACGAGTCCGACTCCACTTCGCTCTATGGGTAGACGTCGCATTTGGCACTACAGGTCTGCAGATTGGGATGAGATGCGGATTTATTTCGCATCTTACCCATGGAGGCAAGTTTGCTTCACACTGGATGATCCCGACGCCATTGCCGATTCTATTGCTGATGTGGTGCTTCAGGGAATGGAATTATTTATTCCTAACTCTGTGGTGCCCGTCGGCGGTAAATCCCAGCCCGGGTATGGAGCCTCCTGTAGAACAGCTTCTCGTTTGAAACAGGAGTGATTCCTAGCCTGGGCCAAAGGTGTGGTGTCGCGAGATCCTAACACCAGTGCCCTTAAAAAGAAGTACAATTCTGCCTCTAGGTCTTTTAAAAGAGTTATAGCCACAGCGAAGTCAGAACATATTAGTAGAATTGGCAAGAGATTGGCTAGTTTGCCTTCGGGAACTCGAGCTTTCTGGTCTCTTGCCAAAGTTGCACAAGGGAATTTCTTTAAATCATCTTTTCCACCATTGCGTAGGGAGGATGACTCGGTGGCTCTGAACGCTAAAGAGAAGGCCGATCTTCTTGGATCCATCTTTGCGTCAAACTCGACATTGGATGACGGGGAGAAACCACCACCGACCATCCCGTGTTGTAAGAGCTCTATGCCTGACATTAAATTCACACATAGCTCAGTGCGTAGAGCACTTTTATCCCTTGAAATCCATAAGTCGAGTGGGCCCGATGGTATTCCTCCAATTGTGCTTAGGACGTGCGCACCAGAGTTGGCTCCGGTTCTTACGCGTCTTTTTCGGCTCTGCGACTCATCGGGCATAGTCCCAAAGTTTTGGAAGACTGCTCTGGTACATCCGATCCCTAAAAAGGGAGATCGCTCAGATCCAGCTAACTATAGGCTTATAACTATCACATCCTTATTCTCGAAGGTTACAGAATCCATCATTAACCGCCAACTTCTCCGGTACCTAGAAGAGCACCAGCTGATCTGTGATCGCCTGTACGGCTTTCGACAGGGACGTTCGGCTGGTGATCTTTTAGCTTACTTAACACACCGATGGGCAGTGGCAATCGAGAGTAAGGGAGAGGCCTTAGCTATTAGTCTGGATATTGCGAAAGCCTTTGATCGGGTGTGGCATGGAGCGCTGCTTTCAAAGTTACCTTCATTTGGGTTGCCTTCAAGACTGTGCATTTGGGTCGCCAGTTTTCTCAAGAAACGTAGCATTAAGGTCGTAGTCGACGGAGCATGCTCTGATTTAAAACCTTTGAATGCTGGTGTCCCGCAAGGCTGTGTACTATCTCCGAATCTGTTTCTTCTGTATATCAATGATATGTTACAGATCAGTAATATTCATTGCTACGCAGACGACAGTACAGGAGATGCATTATATACCGGTCATGCAAAGATCTCGCAGGCACATACCGATGAGTGCCGGAATAGACGTGTCTGAAATCGAAACATCACTCCATCAAGTTTCGATCTGGGGTGAACAAAATCTTGTCCAATTTAACCCTAAGAAGACACAAGTCTGCGCGTTCACCGCAAAAAAGACGCCATTTGTCGTATCTCCTCACTTTCAGGGCACTTCCCTTGATAAAAAGTCGAGTCTAGGAATTCTGGGCGTTGATATATCTTGTGACGTCCAGTTTGGCGGTCATCTGGAGGAGAAGGCTAAGATAGCTTCCAACAAGTTAGGAGTACTCAATAGGCTGAGACGGTATTTCATGCCGGAACACCGCCTGAAATTATATAAAGCTCAAGTCAGGCTGTATATGGAATACTGTTCTCACTTAGGGCAGGAGCGCCACAGTACCAACTCCTTCCATTAGACCGCATTCAAAGTCGGGCGGCTTGAATTATTGATAGTCAACGCCTTACTGTCCGATTTGATCAGTTTCATGCGCAGAGATGTTGCATCTCTGTGCATCTTCTACCGAATTTATCATGGGGAGTGTTCTGAGGATTGTTCGGATTGATACCTGCTGCTGATTTTCACCACCGTACAACTCGCCACAAACTAAAGTTTCATCCCAATCATCTGGACGAGTGGCGGTCTTCCACCGTGCGTTTTTCAAGGCACTTTCTTCCACGCACAACTATTCTTTAGAATCAACTTCCAGCAGCAGTATTTCCGAACCGATACGACAACATAACCTTCAAGAAAAGAGTATATTCCTTTTTAAAAGGCCGGCAGCACACCTGCAATGCCGCTGGTGTTGTGGGTGATCATGGGCGGCCGTAGTCACTTACCATCAGGTGAGACGCATGCTCGTTTTCCTCCTGTGTTGTAAAAAAAAACTGAAGCTCATGGACGCTTGCGTTACTATTTCAATTTTTTTTTCAATATAAAAAAAAAAAACTAATTGGCATTAATAATTGTGTCTATAATGAAGATCAGTGGATGAAAAGGACCAACTTGTTAAGTCAGAATTGGATCTCCTTTCTTGTTATATAAACTGTGCGTCCAGTTTAAGTTAAGCTGCAATATGAATGCTTTCAAAATATATCATCATTTTAGTCGTCAACTGTCCATTGCTCAACATAAGCCCTTTCCATAAGGGAAGTTTTGTTAATAGTTGCCACACTTGGCAGGTAGGTTAGCAACTGCACTTAGTCTGTAAGAGATGTTTTAAGAGGGAAGCTGCTGCCTGTCCCTCTACAATTAAATTCCTTTAATACCCTCTTACGACACCCATAGGAGTGAAAGACGTAGCCTATTCTATGCCGGGACAACACGGGAATTTAATTAAAATATATAATGTGTTGCATGCACAGAGTACAAGCGGCGGCGGCGGAGGAGGAGGAGGAGGAGGAGGAGGAGGCGCGACGTCGGGCGACAACTCGCCCATCACTATCAGCTTCAAGAACAAACGCAGCCCCTCGCTCTCCACCGACACCCCAAGCGGTAACCATGCACTTACTACTGCTACTATACATCCATAACGCAACTAGATGAGTACAAAATGTACTCAGTTTACAGGTTAAGGTCAGGTTAGGTTAAGGTGTTTTCTCAAACATGCTTGGAAATGTGAGCATTATTTTGACAATCTTCTTAGAGATAAATCAAAATTGCCATTGCCTACACAAAAATTGGTAGCCATGTTTCGAAGTAAAAGGTCATTCCATTTTTAAATTACAGGACAGATATGAGTTTACATAGTAATTTATCTGGCTGCAAAACACGACAGATATGGATTTTCATACAACTTTTGCCGGCCGCTGCCCGCATGTATCTGGCCAGTACGACAATTTTGATTTATCTGGAAGAAGATCGTCAAAATAATGCTCACATTTCCAAGCATGTCTGAGAAAAAGTCTTTTCTAGTATGAAACAAGTGGTAATCATTTTTGAATTGTGAATTTGATGATTGGAGAGGTTTGTGTTGAGATTCCATTTTGGGATTACTTGATTTTGTTTGACTGAGCTGTGATTGTTCAATACACTATGTGATTACCATGTATTGAAGGTGGCGTTGAATGTAGAATTTGTTTAGATGACTAAATAATATGTTCGTTTGTATCTAGTGGCTGGTGGTTATTGTAAATGTGTATCGTAATATATATTGTTTATAATGTACCGGATAAATCGCAATTGTTAGCAGTATATAAAATAAAGATATCATTTGTCATCATTTATGTATGGACATAAATATTGGTTGACAAATAGTTAAAATATATTTAAGTTTTCCGTACTAGCACGGCACTTCTGCTGTTCAAAATATTTCGTTTTTCGAGGCACGTTTCTTTCGGTAGTATGTTCAGTTTCGCTGGTAGAGTACTCCTGTGGAGGGGTGCTAATGATTGCGATTTTCGTCTGTAAATTGCGCGCGTGCGTGCGCGCGTGCGTGCGTGCGTGCGTGCGTGCGTGCGTGCGTGCGTGCGTGCGTGCGTGCGTGCGTTAGTTTGACCGCGCGTGTGTTTGCGCGTGTGTGTGTGCAGAGGGCGCGGGGCGCGTGCGGCGCGTGCACGCGGCGTTCGCGGCCGACGACGATGACACGCCGCCACACCACCCGCCGCCCGCCGCCACCGCCGCCGCCGCCAGCACCGGTCAGTACACGCGCACACTCATATACGAGGTCTGTCCGGAAAGTTCGTATAAAAGTGTTCTGGAATGCGAGAAAGAGGAGTGGGGAGGCCAGGTAAGCGCAGGACCCCTTCCTTATGTCCCTAACAATGCTTCAGTTCTGGTCTGACCGCCGTGCGGTGCGAACTGGCTTGTCACGCCATCTGTGAAGTTACCTCTTAACGAAACCCCGTCGGCATGGAGCCCGCTTCCGTTGAAGAGCAGCGCGTCGTAATCAAGTTTCTCTCGAAACTCGGCAAGAATGGCCGTGAAATTTTTGCCGATCTAATTCGATAAGACATCCGGGGAACCACGAACAAAAAAATCAAGAAAATCCCGCTCAAATGTCAAGACAATGTTGATTGTTTTTTTCGATGTTCGGGGGATTGTCCATCAAGAATTCGTCCCTCCAGGCCAGACAGTTGATGGAAAATTCTACGTCGATATGCTCAGACGCCTCAAAGCTCGTGTGGCACGAGTTCGTCCAGAATTGGCGCGAGAGGGGCGTTGGATTCTTCACCACGACAATGCCCCTGCCCACACCTCTCTTGTTGTCCGTGAGTTTTTGAGTAAAAATTCCATTACGGTGACCGAACACCCCCCTATTCGCCGGATTTGGCCCCGTGTGACTTCTTCTTGTTCCCAAAAACCAAATTGGTACTTCGGGGGCGGCATTTGGGGGACATAAATGAGATAAAAAAAGCTACGACGGGGCAGCTGAGAAACCTACAACCAGAGGACTTTCAAGGAGCCTTCTCACAGTGGAAACGGCGTTGGCACAAGTGCATTATGTCACAGGGGGAGTACTTTGAAGGGGATAAAATTGATTTACCTGAATAATTGTAAAATAAAATTTTTAAAAACTTTTATACGTACTTTCCGGACAAACCTCGTATGTTGTTATCACCACCATCATCATCATCATATCAGCTTTAAACTGGTCACTGGTAAACAAGCCTCCTTCTTGGAAGGTTTTGCCAGTAGTTGCCACGCTTGGTAGGCGGATTGGCAACCGCAGTTAGGCTTTGGTAATATTTTAAGAGGGACGCTGCTGCCCATCCCTCGCCCTTCCTTAGTCGCCTCTTACGACACTATAACTTATACCATACATTATTTATTTGTATGTACACTTTTTTAATTTATAACTTTGGCCACGTGTCACAACATGTGCATGAAATAACGGTTGGAGATTGATGATTAATATGGAACGCTGTAAAACTTCTGCTAACAATAATAGTAGTCGATCTTTAAACGTTAGCAGTCGCACGCATGCCAATAGAAACGGAATTAAACAAAATAATTGTAACTGACTACTCAGTGATAGGGAGCTCGACGCCTAGTTCAGTAAAGTATTTAACAAAGGACTATGCCTCTCTATCCTGTAATTGCACTGTCGAACACAACTGCTTTACGACAAAATTTCGTCTTAGAACTCAGTTTATATACATACATCATATCGCTAATAAACATTTAAATTTTCAACTAATTATTAAAATATTAATTTATAGCTTCAATATTACGACTAGACACAAAAGATTCTGTAATAAATTTTCTAGGCAAAGACAAAAAAGACAAGGACAAAAGTAAAAAGGGCGAGAGCGGCGAGAAGGAGAGCCGCAGCGCAGAGGAGAAGCGGAAACACATAAAGAGTCTCATCGACAAGATCCCCACGCAGAAGGAGCAGCTGTTCCAGTACAAGCTGGACACCTCGCAGGTGAGTATTCCGCCACCATCGCATCCCACCATCATCCACGCACCAGATCATGTAGTGCTCTTTGATGAGATGTGAATAGAATGTACATTATTCTATGTAGATGACTTCCATGGGGCAGTGGTAAATGAGGTCTCAGTTTCGATTCTTTATTGGGTCAGTATAGGAAATGAACTTTTTTCGGTGGTTCAGGTGGCACAGGGCAGCTGGTTTGAGGACTGCGTGACTGGTGTGATTGTGTGGCATTGGTATTTACAAAGAATGGATTACACTGGCGGGGCACGTTAAATAGGGATCAAGACATCAGTTGATCCGTTGTGACAAATTCACCAGAAATTAACCACAATGATATCAGATGGCAACCGTGTGGATGTTGACTTGATAGTGTATACTGCTTGCAAGTAGACCATCAGTTCCCATTACTAACGATCTTTCTCCCTTGTATATGTAAATAACTACTTATTATAAGTGTACCTTGAAGCTTTGGCCATACTATGCGTTCATAAATCTAAGAGGAAAAAAGAGGTTTTCGTCTTAGATTTATAGTTGTAATAATTAGTTTTCATGGCCCTCATGTTCTCAATTAAGGTAAGGTTAGTGATAGTCGTATACGAATTATTTAAACGCAACGCGTCGGTTGCAGATCGACAACACGCTGATGGAGAAGAAGATCCGGCCGTGGATCAACAAGAAGATAATCGAGTACATCGGCGAGCCGGAGCCGACACTGGTGGACTTCATCTGCAGCAAGGTGGTGGCCGGCTCGGCGCCGCACCGCATCCTCGACGACGTGCAGATGGTGCTCGACGAGGAGGCCGAGGTGTTCGTCGTCAAGATGTGGCGCCTGCTCATCTACGAGCTCGAGGCCAAGCGCGCCGGCCTCGCCAAGTGACCGTCGCCACCGCCGCCGCCGCCGCCACCGCCGCCGCCGCCAGCACCGCCGTCGCCGCCGCCCTCGCACCATCACCACCACCACCACCATCATCACCACCACCACCATCACTGCCGCCACCACCGCCGCGACCAGGGCGTGTAACGTATAGTAAATACATTACTAGACTGTGAGAATTTAATGACCGTACTACTTTGTGGCAGTTGTTTTGACTTTATCTAGAAATTAAATCAAATACAGTGAACGCTCTATATAAGCAACCTCTCTATAAGCAACTATCTTTATATTTTATTTTCTCAAACATGCTTGGAAATGTGAGCATTGTTTTGACAATCTTTTTCGAGATAAATCAAAATTGCCGAATTCGTTATTCGTCATTGAACTTAAAAAGTAAAATTGTGTTTTTGATTTCCGCGCATTGTTTGAGAAAAGTACTATACAAGCTTTGGCCATAACTAGGCATTGATAGACTCACGTATGTGTGCCTCGGCTACGCATCGGCCCACATTTGCACGTTCGTCCATCAATACCTCAGTTGCTGGCCACTGCAGTAATGTACTATACAAGCCTTGGCCACAACTAGGCATTGATGGACTCATGTATGTATGCCTCGGTCCACGTTTGCACGTTCGTCCATCAATGCCTCAGTTGTTGGCCGCTGCAGTAATTAACTATTATTCTACTCAGCTTATAGTATTTTTATATTCCTTTTTTCCCTATAAGCAACTTTTTTCAATAAGAATTTTTTTTATTGAAATTAGTACAAATGAGTTGCTTATATAGAGCTTTCACTGTATACAAATGATTAAAACTGACAGATAGAATTACGACTTGATTGAATCCCTTCTTTTTATTTTTTTTTAAATGGCTTCTACCATAGAGACAGTGGTGATTTTCTGTCAATGTTAGGATTAGGGGAGACTCCCAGTTAACTGATTATAATATTAATTATAAATAGGTCACGCTGCACCCGCATATGTCACCATAATAGTGCTGGAATTATAATTCTTAGTTGGTCCTGTACATTTTAATTTCTATATTTCATATTCATAATTTGATGTAAGTGCGTTTGGTAAGGAGCGACACGTGGCGCGGCGGAGGTGGCCGACGTGCTGCAGTATCAAGGAGCTTATCATTTTTAATTAAATTTGTAGTTTGTTTTATAATTAATTAGGCCCCTGTCGCGGGCACAACTATTAAACAATAGTCAAAATTTATTAAAATAATCGATTTTATTTTCAATTCATACTATTAAAATGAAACATGTATTTATATGTGAATATATACAATACATAGAGGTTGTACTTAGCCAATTTTTATTATGTTTTCTTCAAATCGAATGTGCATCGCACTATTAAAGTGTGACGTGTCCGCGGTGCGTAGAGTCCTCTGTTTTACCGCCAGGGAACTACACGAACTATACACGCACGATTCTACCTCGTCTGCGCAGGTCCTAAGCTGTTAGTTTCCATATCGTAGTATATACTGTACAGTTACAGAAATTTTACATTATTTCATAATCTGATGACGCGAGTTTCTGTCGTTTTTAGAATTTCGTACCAAGAAGGTAAGAGGAAACCCTTATATGTCTATACCCATCCATCTGTCTGTCCGTCACGACGCTATATATCAGCAACTATTAATGTTATCAATTTGATATTTGGATTACTTGTACATATTGCTAGCCCGTACATATTGCAATGGAAGTAATTGAAAAATATGTTTATTTTCTTTATTGGGAGGGGTTCAAGTGAGCTACATAAAAGAGCTTTATTTTGTCCATTTGAAAATTGATTTTTATTTTAAATAAATAAAAATAATTTAAATCGACTCTAGTAACCATCTTTCATTGTCCAGTGTATGATTTGCCTTAGAGTTTGCATTAAATTATTCTTGACACTGCCTATTTTTGTATACAAATGTATATTTTCGTGGTAAATCTAAAATAGTAAACGAGCTTTCTTGTTTATATAATAAAATATATTGTAAATCACCTAGGAACTAAGTTTGATCAACTAAACTGGGATTGTGATGCAATACGATGGATTTGGACAAAACGCTCAGTACAGAGACGACATGTAAATTTGGTCGCGGATCCACTTGTGTAATATAAGATAGTTGTCGTCTCTTAGTACTACATTTATTACGAAAACTGAGCATTATGATTATTATTTGAGGCGGCGGAGTGGGGGGGGGGGGGGGCGGTGAATAGTTGCTTGTCTAAATCCACCTTGAGACTGTATCATGCGTCGTTGGCAAACCACGATACATAACGAAACGATGTCTGAGGCGGAGTGGGGTGTGCATGTGTGCTTGCGTGCGTGCGTGCGTGTGCGTGCGTGTGCACGCGTGCGCTGTGTGTATGTGTGAGTGATGTATGATGTGAAGTGTGTGTACAGAGCTGTTACATTTATATTATAATGTTAAGTTTAATGATACCTCTTAGCATACAATAAAAACATGATATTCTCAGAATTTGTTTCATTTTTAAAATTACGAACCAAATAAACCTGTACTGGATATTATCCTCCGTGTTGTAGGATGTATTATGGTAATATATTGTGTTTGTGGTGGATTTAAATTAAATGAAAATGAAATATAAAATATGAAAAATTTTAAAGCAGATATGGAACCTGTGTCAAACTTGATGTAACTTGTGTACGGAGAGAGAGCTCCCGTGCCTGCAGTGAGACCGTCGTGTTCGTGCGTGATCGTTCTCGTGAGTACTCCGGGCGACCGTCGAGACTCCGAGTAGCGTCTTCCCCAGCACGTCGTGACTCCTGCGCCTTCGAGAGCCCGCGAGCTTCGTGCTCCGTGACTTCGTGCCGCCGCCGAGTAGGACGTCCTTCTCAGGACGAACTCAAGGCCGTCAGCCCTTCTGAGGGCTACAAGCCGACGGGGAGATAGTCCGTGCACCTGGGTGCACCAGTGTAGGCACCTGTGTGCTACACGCCAGGGCACGGTCGAGTCGTAGGGCTTAGGGACCGTAGGTCGTCGCGGGGGTTCTGTCCCCCCGCACCACTCTCGGCCGTTCCGGAGAGTGTCGCCTCACGGGGAGGACAAGTGCACTCACGGTAACGGTCGAGAGCACGGTCTTCCCGGCCGTGTCGACTCCACCCCCCCCTCCTCCAGCAGTAGGGATCGTTCGTGGGGTTCCAACCCCCACATCCCCCTCTTTCAAACCGTAGGGTGTCGTCTCACAGGGAGAACAAGTGCACCCACGGCGAGACTGAGGGCACCGCCTGAGTCCCCACTTGGGCGGTGTTGGTCCAGCGACCCCTTCGCCCTTCGTGGGCTACTAAGTTAGGGACCGTAGGGACAACATCACCATCACCATCACCATCACCGACAACAATGTCTGAGCGCGAGGGGAAACCCCCGCAAACCTTTTGAGTCGGCCAAACGGCCGACCCGCACTCCTTCCGCGTCGGCGCCTAGGGCGCCGGCGCCACTGCCACAGCGGCAAGCCGTGCCGAGGCAGGCAGGCAGTAGCCGACCGGTCCCAGAGACAGATCTGGGACCGTTTCACACCCGCCGTGAGGCTAGGTTAGCACTCGCCAACCGCAACGTAACCGCTGCGGAAGGGGAACGCGCCGAGCCGAGCGGCGACTTGTCTGGCGCCACGCCGTCTACGGCCGCCAAACGCCGCACACCACCATCGCACGCTCTCTCGGGAACACCTTCAGAGAAGCGGCTAGACGCAGGCGACTCACCGCCGTCGCCCCGTCTCGCTCCCGCACCGCGCTACACCGACCGACCGTCTCGCTCGGTGAACGCGCCGTGCGAGGCGCGCCCGCATACACGGCGCGCCACACCCCCCCGCTCTCACTCACCCGCGCACTGGGTGAGCCGCCCAACGCCCGCCCCTACGGCAAGGGCGTCCGATTCCTGTGCAAGACGGACAAGGAGTTCCGTCTTGTACAAAGATACCTAACCGAGGCCGGCGCAGCTGACCCAGCAATCAGCTGGTATTGCTACAGCCTGGCCTCCGAGCTCCCCACAAAGGTGGCAATAAGGGGTCTCCCGTCCGAGACCACTTCGGACGCGGTAGCGGACGCCCTCGAAAAAATTGGGTACCCCGTCCGCCTAGTGCGGGGTATACCGGCCCGCCGCGGCCGCCCAGGCTGCGTATTCCACGCCCAGCTCGATCCCTTGAGCAAGGACGAGCTGGATCGTCTTTATGCCACGCATGAACTTTTATTCATGCGTGGCGTCACAATCGAGGGCTGGCGGCCCTCAACTTCTTCCCTGGCACAATGTCACAGGTGCCAGGGATTCGGCCATTCATCGGCCAACTGTCACCGGCTCATCAAATGTGTCCGATGCGCCGGTGAACACGCGGCCGCTGATTGCGACCGGCCGCGCGACCACAAGCCTACCTGTGCAAATTGCGCCAAGCCGCACACCGCCAACGATAGACGGTGTGCGGTTTACAAGAGAGAGGCGCGCCGCAGGGGGATCCAAACCCGCCCCGCCGCCCCCGCTGCTCCGACGCGCGCCCCCGGCGCCGACAGACGCGCAAGAGCGCCCGCACAGTCGGCGCCGACTCAGGCGCAACTTCCCACACGCGCACCGGTGCCGGTGACAGTCGTCCCACCGACGATGTCGTCCCGGGGCACACTCATGGCCCCGGCAAACCCACCCACTAATCGTGGTGAGGCGCCCAAGCGCAGAAGGCGCAACAGGGCCGGCAGGAGGCGTCGTAACCGCGAGCAAAACGCGGTTACATCGACGCCGTTCGAGGAGGTCGCCCCGCCGACGCAAACCCGCGGCCGCGCCGCGTTCGAACAACGGGGACTTATTCCCCCCCCAACTCAACCGTTCCAAACATCTGCGCGGCGAGGGACTGCATTACCGACAGTCGCTTCTGTACCGGTTTCGTCCGCTCGCCGCCAGATGGCGCAAAACGTAGTGAACGAGCGACAGGAGGCGTGGCCGTCTTTGAGTGCCGCCCCACGCTACTCGAGTAAACCGCCGTGGCGGTCGGCCCAGACGGCCTCCCAACCACTACGTTCACTACGTTCACAACAGACGCGCGATTTACCTACGATAACAGACAATGGAGCCCTAACATTAATAATAGGGCTCCTCACAGATCTCCTAACGGCCCTAGCGGCCGGTGAGGACATAAAGTCGGCGGCTCTCG